GTGGTTAAAACAATGAAATAATAAGTGAAATAATAATAAGACAATTACTTCTTAAGCTAAAATCTATATATAATAATAATATTATATATTTACTTTAATATTATAGATAATAACAAAGTTGATATCATATTTAAAAGTGAAAAAAATAAAAGCAATTAAATAATTAATGTAGTCTATGTATTTATCAAATGATTATTGTTATCATCTGAAATAAACAAAGGAAATTATATATTAGAATTATTCCAAGTTTATTTTAATAAAGCAATCCCAAAACCCACATTTAAATTAAAGAATGCACCTGCAAAACAACCTGTTATAGCCATAATTCCTAATCCCATCTTTGCTAATTAAGTATTAACCAAGAAATCACATGCAGAATTACCAAATGCTAAAAAGGTCATACCTAAATATGAAGGACTGATTCCAGTTAAAGTTTAGATTAACTATTAATTTTTATTAATGAATTACCACAATAAAATCTACAAGTATTTCTACTATTAATTTACACCATACTATAGAACAAATAGCACTCCAAATAGTTAATGTCTAATTATATTATTAATTATACTATTAAAGGTATTTAATAACAATAATGATATATTGCCAGAATAAATGCTATACATCCTATAATTATATATAATGGATAATCAAATAATAATGAATCATACATATCTAAGACAATTATTAATAATAAAGGAGTAAATAATAATTAAATTGATGTTTTAATTTTGTTTTATTACTTTTTTCCTTCTGTATATTTACTTATTAAATCAAAAATCATATTTAAACATGTCTATATTTTTTAAATAATTGTTTATTTTGAAAAAGCAATAATTTCTTATTGTTCTTCATCATTATCACAACTTTAAGTAAGATATAAATTAACTTATTATTCTTCAAATTCTAATGATTATTATTCATTTCCAAAATATTTGAAAGGTTTAATATCATCTATTTATTATGGTTATTAAAATTCTTGTTCTGAGAGTAAACCTTATTATTCCTCTTAATTTTCTTATTTCTAAATTATTTACATATTTTCTTAACAATGTTTAATTTCTGATTTCTCATTTAACATAACAACAATTATATACATTAAATATAATGATACAAAAAGAATTGAAAATTGATATGAGATATATCCAATATATCCAAATGTAATAATAGATCCAATTCCTAAAATATTAAATATAAGATCTCTTGTTAGAGATACTTTATTCACTAATATATGTTTTGAATAATATAAAACTGATCCTAAAACAAATGTAGTCATAAACAATCCACTTCCAAATATACTACCTACTGCTATCAAAACACCTTAATCATCTTCTCCTGTTGCTATAATTGCAGTAATTACATCTGGTGCTCCATTGGCTAATGCTATTAGTGTAATTCTAGTTTATAAATATAATTATACCCTGAAAGTGTTTGAGATAATTTAAAATATTTAGCAATATGAGCAACTGCAGGTGATAAATAATTTTCTGCTGTTTTTGATAACAAGTTGAACATCATAAAGAAAAAGAATGGCTATATAATAATTATTAGATTTACAATAAAGATTAATACTAGAAGGTAATTTTCATTGAATTGACAATAGAATAGTTAAGTGAAAGCTATTTTAGATTGATTGTTGCAATTAGTTTAAACATATAAGCATCTATCACTCTATTCTTAAATATTCTGATATTTACATAAATTATCCATATTTTAATATCTTCAGCAATTAATTTTTAGGTTGAACAAATAATTGAATTAAATTTTAAATTCTTCCTCAATAAAATAAATAATATTAAGACTTATTTATGGCAAGTCCTATAGATTTCAATCTAAACTAAATGTAAGTAGAATTCATTTTAGGTAAAATGCCAAAAGGATTCTCTTTATTGTAAGCTAGTCTATTAAAAGCTCGAGAATAGAGAGTGGTAAGAAATGGGTCCCTTATAAGTCTATAGTCCAAGAAAGTTAATAAATATGATGCCTCTTTCTAATCTAATAAATAAGAGGTTGTGGAAGACAAAACTAAAAGAATCCAGAGACTAACATCTACATAACAAAAAGAATCAAATAAACCGTTGATGGATGATAATCACAAAGAAGGATTATAATTACTATAGATGTTTAAATCTCATCCTGCATATACTTAAATTGATACTTAAGGGTAAATTAATATAGATAAAATTGAAGCATTTTTCATATAGGAAGGTATTACTTACTAGTAATTAAAAGGTAATTTGATTAACCTCAAGAATTAAATTAAACAAATATTGCATAAATTAACTTAAAATGCATCCAATCAAATGTAGGATTTACTAAACTAATTAGAAATCCATTTTTAAAATGTTTTTAAATCACCTTCAAATCAATCCAAAACAACACCTATCTAAAATTAGTACATTTTTTTATCTATTATAATCTTAGAAACACTTTAAATAAAAATATCCCTTAAAAATCTAAAGAAATTTAATCTACAAAGAAATCAGATTAAATTATTACATTTGAAGAAAAAAAATAATTGAGTTAAAATATAAGAGAATTATCTTCAGATTATTTAAAAGGTGTTTGGGAAATTGTGTAATAGAATGTATAAACAAAAGAAGATGAAGAACTTGAATTTGATATTGATGTATTACCTCCAAAGATTATTCGAAAACTATAAGAATATGTCAAAAATAAATTGTAATTTATATATATTCATTTTTATAGGAAAACAAAAAAAGTGAAGATAGACACTTCTATTAACTAAAGCTCATAGAGATCCTTAAACTAAGATAGTTCTTTTGCTTCTAAGTCCTTTGAATGAGAATATAATTATAATATCATTATGACCATTTGTAAGAAAATTTCAATTCGATTTTGTGAATAAATTAAATTATTCAAATTATATTCCATATTATATTAACAATTTAACTCAATAAATTTCAATTTCTATTTCAATATTAAAATTATGAAAACATTGCTATTAATATCATTCCTAATCTCAATTACCTATTCATAATTCCTTAAACCTACTTAAATAACTTAAGTAATATAGCCATAATATTAAGTTTTGTGGGATACAAGAATATCTATTACCTGATATCTACTATGTATAAGGAAGTGCATCAACCATTGTGGAACCAACTTAAGCCATCATTACTTTAAATATTGAAGTTAAAAAAATATAAGCTTAAGAGACACTCTCATAATTGGCTATCATTTCAGATAAAGCTATCAAGTAAATATTGTCTCAATTAATTAAGAGCTATCAAGGAACAATCAAATAGTGATATCAAGATTTAAACTAATGATTTTTAGATTTAACCATATACAGAATTTGATTATACAGTAGATCCAGCAAAATTAATCTTTAAAGGATTCAAAGCCAATAATTAACTAACTATTGAAACATTAAATATCAATGAAGTGGGAAAGTAAATATTATAATTATCTTAGAATCATTGATATTGCTGTAAAAAATGGAGTTGAGACTGTTGGTGGTGTAAGTTTTGATATAAGTAAAGAATAAAAACGAAGAATAAAAAATGTATTAATTGAGGATGCTATAGAAGATGCTAGACATACTGTAAATATATAATATTAATAAATTTAAAGGCTGATGTCATTTTGAAACAAATGAACATGAAAATCATATCAGTGAAAAGTGTTGCTCTAAATGATGTCTACAGTTATGATTAGATGGGTATTCTTCAATAATCAGTGACTGTAGGATATATAATTGGCCCTATAGATTAATGATTCCTATAAATTATATTAATATCTTATTTTCACTATTTTTAGTAAAATTGATTAATTAATTTAATTATATTATATTTTTGAATATAAATTTTATAACAACTAATTTTAAAATCTGATTCATTTATGTTAGTTTATTATGATGGTTTAAATTAAATTCTTTAAAAGTGAGTAATTTATTTTTTGGAATAGAATTTTGAATTATTATTTGAACTACTAAATAAAAAAATAATAAAGTACAAAAAACCTATTTATTTATATTTTTAATTCATTTAGACAGTTTTTTATTAAAATGTGTCAAATAAATTTGAAAAATAAAAATTACATTTGGATTCAAGATATATATATATAGAGATATAATAAGTTATCATTTAATAATATTGAAATTATTATCTTTTAATATATATATATATAAAATAAAATTATTAGTAGAATAATAATAATACATATATATTAATTATATAAAGTGAGATTGCAAATGAAATATATATATTCAATATATTAGATATATAAAAATGATATTATTTTAATTAAAAGCATAATAAAAATATTATTTGTAATATAAAAGATTGATTTTTGATAAAATTAAGGATCAAAATAAATGATAATTGATAGATAAAATAGATACTAGAATGATTTTTATATCTGATGTATGTATTTATTTTGATATTTCATTCAAAATCTCTACCACATAATGGTTCATTTTCCCAACAAGCAAAATTACCATTCCATCTACCTAAATTAGCATCTTTGTTTCTGCTATTAGTGACATAATTTAAATAGGGTTGGGTTCTAATTAGTAATGATAATACTTTGGAGTTGTAAATGCATGTCCTTATCTTCTGTAATTTTAGAATTCATTAATTGCAATTCCAATAACAAATGCTGCACCACAATACCACATTGACATATTTCGAATCAAACTAAAAAGTAAATTTTTTGGATTAATACTTAGATACAAGTAGATTTCTGAATGAAGATCTCCAGACAAAATCAAAAGGGTTTTAAGTGATTCCATGATTAAAATCTATAGGGACTCTATGATTTATGACTCTTCTTGAGAAATTGTATTTTCCTACAAAAAAGTTGGATGATTCACTCATTTATATATTTATTAAAATAATTATCAATTTTATTTACATTTCTAGTTAAAGGACATAAGATGAATAGTATTTTAACTTATATTAATGAGAAGTTTAATTGTTGATATTTAAGTATAATTCGTGTTTGCGTTACTATAAATATTAAATAATTTTATATTTTAAATGAAGAAAATTAGACAATATACAGATGAATATTTGAAATATTCAATAGGATATACATAAATAGCTCTATCATAGGATTATTAAACATTTTGGATTATAATAGAGATAATTGCATAAATTTAAAGAATAGCAATGGTTTTTTTGTTTGAAGAAGTGTTACATATTCTTTAAGATAGAAGAAATATAAATATAAATTATGTATCAGATTAATGGGTATGCAAATTTATATCTAAGACATTTGTGCCTACTATTTTAATGGCTGATATGTTTTCAAATAATTCAATAATTGCAATATAAATAATTCTGATTGTTCTTTTATGTTCACCTTTAATAGCAATTGCTATATTCATTGAATATGAGAAATCAAAATTTGCAACAATTCAATTTAAATCCCAAGTAGGAGGACCAGATAATTCAAATCGTAATTATTAGGTTGATATTATTAGTTTCAATTAATCTTTTAAACAGATCTTATAATATGTCTAATTTTATTGAAAATTTCTTATATTAATAATTAATGGGTAATGATTAAAGATCATGGTTAAATGTTGTAAGAAACTTTTTAGCTAAATTATTGAATACATATCCTCATATATTCACAATACCTTTGATGTATTGGAATCTTTTAGTAGTATTATTAGTGATTTTTGATATAGAAATATCAAATAATTAGAAATTATTTATGGTTGTTTTAGATACTGTAACAACAATTGAAATGATTATATTATGGACATTTTCAATGATTGCTTAAAGAAGTTATACAATGTTTGATAATAATCATTTAAGAATATAATAATCAACATGGTTTAATATATCTTAAGTAGTGAAATTTATGCCTATTATAGTATAATTTATATACTTTCTTTATTCAGAAACTTAATATGATAATAATATATAGATCTTAATAACATCAATAATATAAGTTAATTTAATTGGAGATTTATTAGATTTTTTTATTTCTATTCCTTATATGTTTGAATATAAACAAAATATATCATTTTTATGTTTAAGTGCATCTTTAACAATATCACTTTCACATTAATTTTAATTAACTTAAATGTAACTATTTTCAATGTGTTTAATATGTATACCAATATTAACTAAAATGATTAAAGTTATATTTAATTATGTTTTACAATAAATATTTGATTAATAATTATATATGGAAAAGAAAAAAACAAAAATTTAAAAACGTTCAAGTTCAAGAAGATCTCAATTTGTTGAAGATGATTTATAACCATTTGTTATAGAAAAAGAAATGTAGGAAATTAAAAAATAATAAATTGAATCTTTGAAAAATTAACATTTTAGATATTTTGTTCATTATCTAAGATATATTTCTTTTTTTAGATTATCAGATTAATAATCATTAGATAAATATTCTAAAATAGATAACATAAAGAAATCTAATTTTTTAATTAAGATTATTGTTCTTATTAAATCTCATGTTTAAAATTGTACAAGTGTATATTGTTATTGTAAAGGATTTAGAGGAGAAAGAAGATAAGTAATGGATAGTAGAAAGAATAAAGTTGAAATGAAAATATATAATTCTATTTAAATTAATAATATCTATCTTCAAATAGAATTAATTGAAAGATATATTAGACATTTTACAAAATATGTTTTTGAAATAGAAAATAATGAAAAGAATCCTAATATATTTAGATTATCATAATTATTATTATATATTTGTGATTCTGAAGAATGTTATTAAGTTATGACATTTATAATGGATTATAAATAAAGAAATATTAAAAATACTTCAATGTTGAATGAAGTCACTCTTACACTTATTATTGGTTTGGTTAAACATAAAGTATTATAAAAAATGAAACATAATTTAACTTAAGATGAAGTTGAAATAGGAATAAGATATAAAAATTTTAGAATTACTGAAATTAGAAGAGATTAAATTTTAAATCATATATTTATTAATATTGATTAAAAAATTAAATTTATTAAAAGTTTACTTGAATTAAAGATGAATTTTTAATAATTATTTTAATCACTTGCTTAACATGTTAGAAATATGACTAAAATACAAAAAGAAATAGAAATCTTTTAAAAATATTCTAATTGTAGAACATCTGTATTATTACATATGTTTTATGCTTTAGAGGTTACATGTGATTTTGATAAATTTGTAAGATTAAGAAATTCATTAAAAACTAAGAATTATAAGTTTTTTGAATATCCTTCAATAAGTGCTAATACATCTTCTGTTTAAGGATATAAAGTACTTTATCTCAAAACTAATTTGGCAAGACATTCAATAAATGGCAAATTTTTTAGAGGTTAAATTATGGATTTTTCTAATAATGCACCTTATTTATTAGGATATGATCCAAAAGAATTTAAATAAACTATTTAAACAGTACATTAAATAGTTACTCCTAATTTAGCTACATATCATGATTAATTATTAGAAATATTCTTTCTTACAAACAAACCTCCAATTATTCGTAAAAGAAGACCTCTATTAATGTAAAAGAAATTTAGAGAATTAATATTTTGTGAAATGTATCTTGATCTTTCATTTAATATATGTGAAGATGCCTTTCCTATATATTGCTTTCTTAAATAGATTGTGCCTTATGGAAAGTATGAAAATATTAAAGGACATATTGTGATTTCTGATACATTTAAAATATAAGGAATATCAAATTTAGCATTAGAATAATTAAAAATTAAAATTAATGATTATTATAATAAAGGAATTGAAGAGATTATTCCTAATTTTTAACATTATGTTGAATAATTGTAACATTAATATTAAGCATATTAAGATGAAGAAATTATAAGAGAAGAAAATGGTTCAATTAGTAATAAATTTGATTATTAATAATAAGAGAGATTGCTTATTCATTTTACAATTGAAGTTGAATAATTAACATTTATTATTCCTAAATTTGATTCTTAATCAGATATTTATTATGCAAATTGTTCAATATCAATGTCAATAGGATTTATACATACTAAAATTTATTAAGCTTATTTAATATCCATGAAGAAAATTTCATTAGCAGAAAATTAATCTAATTCGTTAATGTTTGATGTATTTAAAAAAGGAACATCTTAAGCATCTCTAAATCCTTTAAGATTGGATTCCATATAAGGATTAATTGATATCAAAAGTGAAAGTGGAGATATTTCAGATCTATAATAGATCGAATATACATAAAATGAAATGAATAATATATAAGAATATTAGTTGCCTTAAATTTATTCAAATTTTTAAACTCCTTTAGATTCCAGTAGATTAATACTTACTTCCTAAAGAGGATAGAATGAATAATTATAAATTAATGTTATTGAATCTCATAATAATCTAATAAATGAAAATGAAATTTAAAGTTTACATAAAGGTTAAAATAGTTAAAAAACTAATACTAATACAAATAACAAGAAACCAAAATAATAATAATAATCAAAATATTAGTAAGAGTTTTTTGAAGTTAAAGTTGGACACTAAAAAATTTCTGAAATTGAAGTTTTGGATGAAGTATCTGGTAATGGATTATAGAAGATTCATTAAACTGATACTCATTATTAGTTACATGGTAATAAAGATAGTTCAGCTATTATTTAAAAATCATAATTATATAATAAATTTTCAAAGAAAGGCAACATTCCAAAATTAGTCAAAGTTGTATTAGCAGTAGATATTTGTAATTTAATCATTATTCTGCTATTATCTTAATTATTTTATTTACTTTATAAATCAAATATGACTGAAAATAAAGAAATATTAGAAGTATTTGGCCCTTTTACAACAGCAGATCTAATTCGAAATACATTATTGGGTCTAGGACATTTGTAAAATTCAAAAAATTCTACTTTATAAAATGAAACTACACAATTGATTACAGAAAATATAAACCTAAGATTTTCAATATTTTAATAAGTATCTCAAAAATAAGTAGTTACTTCAACTATATCTGAAGCATAAATGAAATTATATGATTATTTTTAATAAGAATCATAATAAGTTAGTGCATGGACTGAAATATTTTAGATTTGGTATCAAATGAGTAATTTTAAAGATTTTAATCCTTAAGATGATTAATATATGCAAAAATTCTATAAAACTATTCATATTTTACTTAATTCATTTTTTGATTACATAGAACAATATGAAATAATAACAGAAGAATTTAATTAAAAGATATTGAGTAATTTAAATGATATTGTATCATATTATTAAAGTGTAATTTCATCTATTGCTCTAGCCATAGAAGTACTTGTAATTGTATGCTATTCAATTGCTTATATGCACTTTTTTCGTCTTAAAAGGAGAATTCTTAGAAGTTCTGAATAAATATAAATACAATCTTTAGAAGCTGAAAAAATTAGATTATCAAATTTATTATATTTATATAAAAATGCAAGTGAATTAAATTTATACAAATATCAATTCAATTTCAAAAGCAAATTATATTAGGAAAATTAGAATTTATCATAGTTTCAAAGTTTAAAATTTACAAATTATACAAGAACAGATTCTAAAAAATAATTTAAAATACAGGAATAATAATATTCTTGTCTTTAACATCCCTTTGTATTTTATCCATTGATTGGAATATTTTTATGTTGTTTTTACTTAGAATATTCTCTTATTACCAATTAGACATATATTGAAATGTTATCATAAAGACTTAATTAATTTTCTGTTTATATAAATTACTGTTAAGAAGTAACTGAAATCTGTTATTGTGATTATGTAGTATAAATTCAAGAAAAACTTAAAGATATTAATATAACTGATTAATTAATAAATACATATAAAGATTAAGTTTAAGAGGCTTATAGGGAATTCTTATACTATGATGAATAATTTAAATATGGATATTCTGATTAGACATTGGATGTTTTAACTAATCTTTTATAAAATACATGTTCGATAATAATTAATCCATTATGTACAACGATTTTAAATGGTAAATTAACAGAAGGACTAATGTATTCCATTTAATATTATTCAGATATGGTAAGAGATGATATAAATTCAGAATTTAAATAAAACAAAAAATTCACAAGAGATGATCTAATAGGGATAAACTTTATTTCTTAAAGTTTAGAAAACTTATTTATAGAAATGAGAAATACATTAGAAAATGAAATTCAATCTTAATTAGATGATAAATTTAGCTATTTCATACTTTTTGAGATTGTAACAGTTTTTATCTACTTTTGTTAAATAATTTTCATATTTAGATTGCTAAGTTCAAAGTTTTTTGTTTGTAGATAATTACCATACCTATTGCCTCCTTAATCAATTTATGGAGAAGACAGTTTTCTAAAATCTTTATAATATATTGAAAAAATATATAATAATATTTTACAATGAACTATTATTAAATTTATAATTTCAATTTTATCGATTTAAGTGATATAACATCAATTGAGTATCTTTTATAACACTTCTAATTCAGAGTAGATGTATATAGGCTGTTTAGATTTTATAATCAATTTTTTTCCATTTTTTTATTGCATACATAAATCATTATCAAATACTTACACTGAAAAGGCAAAAACTGGTGTATATAGGATGGATTCAGATTCCATTTTCATTTATTGATTTCTTTAAGTAAGCTATTTATACATCATATAAGTCAGAGTAGCTTTTGTAAGTTTTTTTCTTTTTTCTTTTAATATTTCCAATTTAGTTCGAACTTACTCTTTTTAAAAATTTACTACTTCTTTATCCTTTTATTCATGAAAAGAGATTTGTTTCTTGTCCTTTTCAAGAACTCCCATAGCTACCATCACATTAATAGCATCATAAACCCTTCTTTTAAGATTTTATATCTCCTTACGTCTTTCTGTACTATGAATTTTTTGAAGTTCATTTTACAATTTTTCAATAAGGATGTTTGCCAATACTTTGTAGGTAGTACTTTTTAGTTCCTTTACAAGTGTCTTAATTTAAAAACTTAATCCTTTGAGACTCCAAAAAGATTTGCTTTTTAATTTTTCTGATTCTGAAGTCTCAGTAATTATAAATTCTGAGTCAGATTCTTGTCTAGATGAATCTGAATGCATTTCATCTTCAACACATTTTGAAAACTTTCTTTGAGTTCTTTTCATTTATGAATAGAATTTTGTATTTTATGAATTTATTATTGTTTAAATGAATAATTATATATATCAATAAAACACGATTAATATTTATATCAGTTATAAGTTTATTAAATTTATTATAAAATATACTCAATTTTGAAGAGGAAAATTATAATATGATATCGGATTGTTGAGCTTTAATTATCGAGCTTTTTTAATTAGTAAATCACAAATAAAACCTACTCTAATAATTGTTATATATTTGATGGTCCTGCTGTACATCTGAATAATTAAGCTAAATCAAATTTAGATGATTACTTATTGTACAGAAAAAGTTTGTAGATTAGCAGTTAGACATTAACCAAAAAAGAAGTAACTTACTAAAAAATATCAATTGTAACAACTTGAATAATGGACTTAAAAAATAAAATGATTAATTGAGTGTTAAATATAAAATTCAATATTGCACAAAAATTTCTTTAAAAAATCACTGAAAAAACTATTTGATAATTTATTTATAGATATTAATTCAATCAAAAATTATTAGTCTTTACGTTCTAATCCAAATCTGGTTATGAACCAACTTTATCTCTTAAAAATTAATAATTATTCATCTAACGAAAATGATTACCTGGTAAAGTGGTGCAATTACATATTAATATTTTAAATATCTATAAAGTTAATTTGATGATTAATACCTTAACACATTCTAAATTCTCCTCTCCCATTAAATTCATCATGATTTCTTTTTGATCTAACAATTATATTGGATTCTAAGACTCTTCAAGAATCTAGCGAACATCTAAAAACTTTTACTCTCCAAGTTTTTTCTTCAAAAAATCTGCTAATAATAAATTCCTATTTGGAGAAGTAGGGGTTTTTGGGTTAAATAATTATTTAGCAAATTGTGTCGGAGTTTCATTCTATTATTATAATTAATCTTCCTTTTGTATTAAATCAGTATCAATTGAAATGATTTTCTTTGTCATTGGTTTCTTAATGTTTGATTATATTTATTCTGAAAATAGATTTTTAAATAATAATGATTATGATTTATTTTGTGGAGTAAAGATAGGTTTGTGCATTTACTTTATATTAGTTTAAATCGATTCAGATTATGTATTATCTATTTATTTGAGCATTCCTATTAATCTCTATTTATATAACTATGAGAATTTTATTCTCTCCTTCTTTATTTCTGGAATTTCTAAGAGTTATGAGATTTCAGGTCTCTCTTAGGGATTCTTTTATAAACATTAATTTATTATATCCTAATAAACCGAAGGGAATCCATCAGGTAATTTGGGAGTTTCACTTGTTATGATATTTTTGAAAACTTCAGGTAAAGATTATCCTTAAAATGGCTTTTGTTTAGTGCACAATTCATAGAGGAGACATCCCAAACCCCAAATATCACTTTTTGTATTGGATGGTTTAGACTCACAAATCTCAGGTGACAAATAATAAGGAGTACCTCACAATATCAATTCATTATAATATACCTAATTATGTTAGATTCAATGAAGCATCTAATTTTCTAGAAATACTAAAGTCTCCTAATTTGATCTAAATATCTATATATATTAATACTATGCCATCTTTGGTCAAAAACACATTTTTCATTTTTATATCTTTATGGACAATATTCATTTAATGTAAGTATTATACTGCTTAACACAATTACGTAAACCAATTTAATATATTTGCTGGATTGCTTTTAGTGTATATTTATAGATCATCTACATTTTAGATATGATTTTGAAATACAATTTTCTGCAAACTCCATTAAAATGCATAATTAATCATTCTACACAAATGAGTTATAGTATTTTATGATATTTGGATGTTTCAAAACCTTCAACAATGTAACTTCATTTGTTGGGTCAACACTCTAAAATTACAAATCGATTAACTTGAGGGCAAATTTCTTTTGTTTTCTCAATCCTATACCTATCCTTTGTTGTCTTCAACCAGCCAAACATCACCAAAGTTACCCTTTCCAATCATTTTTATTCTTGTATACTTATCCATTAGATTCTTAATATATTTATAATAATTTTTGTTTTTATATAATCAACTCTTATTTAGTATTTAAACTGTATTCTTTTTTGCAAAAATATTATTATAATCTTCAAAAAGTTTAGGCATTTTCAGAAAATTTGTTTATTATAATAGTGACCTCTATGATCATTTAATTTTCATTTTTTTATTATGATAAATTAAGAATCCCAATTATAGGATAGACAATTGTTTAAAAATTATTGTTTAATGTTAATTATTGATCAGTCAATTTTTTAGCTATGATTGTAATTATATGAGGAATTGATCTATTTAATCTCATATCATAAGTTGTATTAATTTCTTTAAATTTTTCTATTGATATTTTTAATTTATTTAATTAATGACTCACTTCCAATACATATTATATTAATTAAAAATGAAATTCTTCAAACATCTTGATATCATATTTGTTTTTATTAAAATTACTGTATTCTAGATTAAGAGTGTTGAAGTTTAATATTTTAATGATTGTAAATGAATCAATAATTTAATAGTATAGGTTTATGAATATCTCTAAACAATATGTTAGATAGTGTATAAGTTCTGCATTTAATAGCCGAAATATGGAATAATTAAATATTTATTAATTAATAATAATATGAATTGGTTGTCATAATAAAAAGATGAACATGATAGTATATTTAATAATGGAGGAGATTTTTGGTTATCAACTAAACAGCAAGAAAATCAATAAAATCTTATTTTCTAAGGCAAGGCTTTTTAGAAATAAGCAAAATCTCGAAAGTGGGAAGCTGTACATTTAGAATTATATGTTGACAAGTAATATATAAAAATCATTTAGATTGATTAAAATTGCTAATAATCAAGCAGAATATTGTAATATTAATGCTTGCTACTTAAAAAAGATAAAATATTCTGAATCCTCTTTTTAACCATATAAACATGGGTTTAGATTACATTAAGGTAAACAAAGAGTAGAATTCTTTACTGAAAGTCAAGATCATTATGAAAGATGGTAATCTGCTTTAAAAAGATATTGTATTCTAACAAAATTTAACAAAAAATACAAACTTATTTGCAAACACAAATTAAATGAACCATATCCATCTTGTACATATAAAGCATAACGAAATTCTGATGGATTATTTTTTTAAATTAGAATTATTGAAAAGAATTAACTTGATGATCCAATTCTGGCATTAAATGAAATTACTATTTTAAGAAGATTAGATCATGTTTATGTTTAAAGACTATAGGAAGTTTATGAGGATTAAGTATATTTATATGTAGTTTATGATCAATATGCAGGAAGAGAATAAAAATTTCTACTTCCTTAATTGTTATAGACTCCTGAAAAAGTAATAGCAGAGTTGTTTTATAAATTATTATTGGGTTTGCATCACATACATAGTAAAGGCTTATTTCATAGAGATATCAAATTTGACAATATTTTTAACAGATTTCCTGATTGCCTAACTGATTGTTGTTTTGTTAATTTTTCAAGTGCAGATTTTCATGAAAATAAAATGCATAGGAGAATTGGAACACCAGGTTTTATGGCACCTGAAATTTTTAAAACCAAATAATATGATCAATAAATTGATGTTTTCTCTTTAGGAGTGATATTTTATTATATTGTGTTTGGTAGGATGCCATTTGGAACAGATTTTAATGAAGTATATTTTATATTTAAGCAGAGAGGTGCTTTCAAAAAATGAATAAGGAGATATAGAATATCCAGATTATTGTAAAATTTCTATCAGTGGTCTTTAATTGATGAAACTGATGTTACAAAAGGAACCACAAAAACGATGTACTTCTTTTTAAGCACTAAATCATCACTGGTTTATAAATTTGAAAATTAGAGACTTATTGGGAAAACCTAGTGTTATGATGAATCAAATGAAAATGGGATCTGGACTTAATTTATCCACAATCTTAGAAAAATCTGATATGATAGACAATTCAAATATGTCAATTGCCCTCACTCCAAGAGGCATTAAAAAGAAAAGTTAAATCTCAAGATCTAAATCTTCAGATATGAATATTTTAGATTAAGAATTTATTTATGACTCTGTTGCTGATAAAATGAAATCTTTAAAAAATACAATGCCCTAACCATCTAGATTAAAACATAAATCTAATTAAACGTAAATGAAAAAATGACTTAAATAGTTTAATCATACTAATTGCTATGTATGTAATTAGTTCTTCTTTTAATTTAAATTAAATAGTAATGTTACATTTTTTATTATTCAAATTAACTTTTTTCTCACATGATTATTTGATATTTCTGTGATTACATCATTTTATTTATGTATAGTTTATCAGATCAAATTTCATTATTTCAAAATTCAATATGAAAGGACTTTTTTATTTATGAATGAAACTTTTTTTAAAGAGCAATTATAAACTATGAAAATTTTAATCCATTATTGAGAACTCATGTAATTACCAAATTAATAAACACTGATCATAATGTTGAAATCAGTAACTAAAATAATAAGAAAATCAACTCAAAGCATCACTTTAGGAACTAATTAAAGATGAATTAAAATAAAAAAAAGTGATATTACAATCATTCCTTTATTGCATAAACTTGAATTATTAATATATTATATATTTTTTTATCTTTTAATTCTTACATTTATATTTTAAGTAAATAGACAATATTAGCTATATCATCTAACATAGAAGATTGTAAGGATATTTATATATATTTTTTATATCATTTCGCAATAATCAAATTATTTAAAAAAAACAGTAAAGTAAATATTTGAGTAATTTTGATATTAAGCTGTATATTGATGATATTTTTGATTTTTATGATTAATTTTTGAACTAATTTGTACAATTAAGAGTAATAATAAATGTCTATTTCATAAAATTAAATAATAAAGGGTTTATAGAGGTACTTAATATAAGGTGTGTTAATAAGTTCATTGGAAAATGCAAATGATTTCATACAATTAGAATTTGTAATTAATTTTAATATATAATTATTAAATATCAATTAAAAATAGGATTTCTATAGAATTATTAGAAATAATCTAATAAATTTTTATCAATTTTAATTATTAGTCAAATAAATGATTTTTAAGAATAGTATTTTGATTAATTAAAAAGCCAGTAATTTCTTCATTTGCAATAATTTTTTTATTTTTTAAATAGTAACATGAATTTGAATCCTTAAACTTCTTAAATTAGATACTAAAATGTAAGATTAATATAAAGTACTCTTGCATATTTTGAATATTCTGCAATTTAAAAATCGACTTAGAGAGAAGTAAATTTAAAAATACAGAATTCTACTAATTCGAACGTGTTGCAATAAGAAACTGCGAGATTGATACAAGTTTAAGATATTGAAGGTATACCTGAAGTGATTGATTATGGTAATAATAATGATTAAAGGTATTTTATTTATTTAACTTAGATATTTTTTGGCTACATAAAGTCTAGGTCCTTCTTTAAGTTCAATTATTAAGACTAATGGATAGATGTCATTAAAAAATATTTTATTGATTGGCATCTAATTGATCAAACTAATTTAGAAAGTTCACAATAAGAATTTTCTTTTGAGCAATATAACACCATGCATTTTATGTTTGGGATCAGATCCTGAAGATAAATTAATATATTTGAAAGACCTATCATTTTTATAATCAAAAGAAGAAGCGTGCAAAGTTTTAAACTTTCCACTTAGAGAAAGTAATTTTCTCAGCCCAGTTTTTAATATTGCTAAAGGTCCTAATTAGATTGATGATCTTTATAGCTTGGCATACTTATTACTTTATTTAATCAATGGTAATTAAAAATATTTATCTTATATAGGAACTTTACCTTGGCAGTAATTTGATAATATAATTAATAAATTATAATTTGAGGAAATGTAAAATCATAAATAAAAAGTAACATTTGATTAATCATTTTTGAATTCATAATCTTCAATTTTTAGCTAATGGTTTAAGTATTTAAGCTCTTAAAAGTAAGGCTAACATCCAAATTATAATTATCTTAGAAATATTTTAATTTCTAAAATGTATGAAAATGGATGGAAACTTAATGAAAAAATTTAATATAAGTCTGATATAATGAATCATAGCTCTAAATCTATTTTATCTATAAAAAGCAGAAGTAGAGGAACCTCTATAACAAAAACTCCTAATTAAAAAATGATTGATATGTTGAGTCCAATATATGAGGTTGATAAAGAATTTGAGTTAGCTCAGTCAGTATAAAAGAAAAAAGATGAGTTGTGTTATTTTTAGTAATTTGAAAATTAAAAAAAATCAATAGAAGATAGATAGCTGATTGAAAATAACACAAGTTTTACTTCTTTAGAATAGAATGAAAGTGAATTATGGAAAAAAATGGAGAAATTGGATAAAATATCAAATCCTATAAAACTGATGAATAAATTTTGAAAAACTTGATATTATATTATTTATATGGGTTAGTCGTTATATTTTTGATAAAGAAAAATAATGAGTATTGATATTAAAAATTTATTCATGTATTTATATATCTTTATATCACTCTTGTTGCAACTATTAATATAATTATTATTGTTATAATTATGAAAATTAATTATCTTCTTCACCCTAAATTAAATATAAATGTATACCACTTCTGTATTTAAAGGAGTATCGCTAACAATATGATTATTTTAAGTTGTGACTTCATATTTATTGGGGTTATGAAGAGGTTTTTCAACAGGAGCAGAGAATTACATATCAGCAAGTGCATTTTTTAAAAGATCTAATTTCTATTTTTGATCTTCATCTTCTTAAGTCTATGATAATTATTATTAGAATTCTTCTCTAAAATAATTTTAATTATGAAAGCATACTCTAATTGAGGAGGACTCTCTACCGGAAAGAGAGGCCTAGTTCCATCAGGATTCCATGGTCCAATATTTTATGATAATACATCAGTATTTTCACATTTAGAATTACCTCCAAGAAAATCAGGCAAATTGTCTATATCAATATGTTTTAATAATTCATCTTTATAAGAGGAACCTAAGATTGTTATTTTATTTTTTGTTTTCTCATCTAGCCAAATTTTAATCATTGCCCAAATACCAGTAAACATCATAGGGGCATTTACTATATACATTCTGAAATGGATAACAGAAATAATTACTTTCCAAGGATTTCTGGATAATTGTTTTATCCAATATTTGAGGCTAATTAGATAAAGTTGTAAACCTATTTAGAAACCATTTTCATTGATCCACCCTTCAAATCTAAGATTGTGAAAGATTATTCAATTTTTGTTCCTTTAGTTTAAGAACATGCAGGAAAGATTCTTTTAAGCAATAATTCATAGGATTGGATATAATATTTGATTAAACGTTGCTCTGTAGTTACTTCAAACAATTTGTTTAATTGAAGCATACCAATTCTCTCAATATAAATGGGTCTTCCCTTTATTAATAAGTTTAGATTGTACCATTTTATCAGTCTTATGATAACCGTGAGGATAATGAGTTCTTACTTATGGTAATTCATCAAACATATATGTCTTTGATAAATTAAAAAAATACCATAATATTATCAACATCATTCTCTTTTCTCCATTTAATGAAGTCATTAAACATTTGCTAAGTTTTACCTAAATCAAATTTTCTAGCCCTTAAAAATCTCAATAAATATGGGTCATCATAAATTTTCTCACTCAATCCCATTTGGTTTACAATATTTCGAAAATCACTCAAAGCTTTTAATTAAGTTTGATTGCAATCTCCTGGAAATCTAGGTTATCCAAAATTTAAGTTACCCTGTAAAGTCTTTGTCCTTTTTACTCATAATTTTAGATTTAATTTATAAGAAAACAATATTTAATGAAGTATTAAAAATCAATAACAGCAATTATTATTTATCACTATATTCTATTTTCCAAACCTGATAAATCTATCTTTACCATTTCTTAATAAATAGATCATTCTCTTCCGACATCTGTCCATTTAAAAATCTATAGGATATGTTATTTTTATTAAAAATCTTCAACTTATATTATACTGACTCATTAATCTAAAAATAATAATTATATTTTTTTATTTTTAAGTAAAGTTGTAAATGTAAATTCAACTGTTGCTATTATTAAGATCACAAGTTAAACAAAAGGAAAAATTAATATTCAGTTCTATTATCAATTTAAAAATATTAAATAGATATCATAAAAATCAAGTAAATTACTTCATCAATAACCTTTCTATTGAGTAAGATTTTTTTATATGTTTTACAAAGAACAAATAAACTCATTAAGGGTTCAAAAAAAATAATTTTCTATTTTACAAATTTTCTTGTTCGATTTGATTATTTCTATATATTTTTTATATCTTCATATTGTTCCACTTTCATCTCAATAATGATTTTCAGTTTCTTTTAAGTTCTGTTGGTGTGGAAAATTTAATGAATTTTATCATTTCTTCTCCTACATATTCTTCTTTAAGAGTGCTTTCGGATTAAAAGTGTTAATTATGCTGTAAATCTACATCCAAATTAAATTATTATCGAAACTTCATTATTTCTTTCAAATAACTTTGATTTATTAAATTTTTAGATGCTAAATAAGTATGACTCTCTAAAATGATATAATAAAATTATTAAATACTATAAATAAAATGATTACAAATAATGGATTTTCTTTCAAAACAAAACCCAATTATAATTTGTTTATAAAAATAACTATAACAATAAAATTTATTTTTCTTATTTTTAAATCTACTATCTATTTTCTTTTAAATTGAATTTTTCTAACAGAAATGAATTAATCTTAAACAGGAAATCTTATCGTAAAACAATTATTAGAATAGTACATAGTATCAACTAACATGATGTTAAATTTGATAAAAGGACTTCTTGATAAAGAAGATTAACCTTCGAAGAGTCTATTTCAATATGCATTGTAATTAATTGATAGTTTCTTAAAAATATTTAGGGAAATTGAAAAAAGAGGTGTTGATTAATCTTAAGAATCAAGACAATATTTGATAAGTCCTGATGAAATTATTTAAACTTGATAAACAAAGATTTAATAAATATAACATGACCTTTAAGATTAAGCTTTGGATGTATACAAAGATCATAAAAAAAGAGATTGCATTTTGTTTTTTTACACCAATTTTATTTATTAAAGATATAAAATTAAGAGTAATTTAATACAGAATAATAAAGTTTGTAATATAAGAGAATATATTATTTTATTTTATAGCTATTAATTTAATTATATACAAAAATTAATAGCAATTTAAGATAAGATTAAAAAAATTAATAACATTACAAGTAATTAAAGATAAGAGAATACATTTAGTTATTTTAAACCTTATATTTTAATTAAATAAAAATAGTAAGAGTAATTTAAGATAAGACAAAACATTTCGTTATTTAAGACTAATTATTATAATTAAATAAAAATTTTATGAGAAATTTAAGATAAGATAGTATATTTTGATATTTCATATCAATTATTTTAAATTAATATACATTTTGTTATTTTAAAATATATTTATTATCTGTATAATATTTCATTAGGTTTCTTATTATTTTCATAAACAATTAATATTATCTACCTAATTAATATTATTTTAGCCAATTATTGGTTTTGTATTATATAATTTATTGATTCCAATTTTGCTTCGTTTGATTAGCAGGTTAAACACCAAGCTTCATTTAAATTTCTTTAAATCATCAATTCGAATATAGTATAAAGAATAAAGAAATATTAAAAATAGGAATTGTTTTAAGCTATCTCTTCTGATAGATTTTATCCATTTATTCTTTTTAAATTATTAAATTAACTCTAAATTAATTAGTTGATATAGAAATTATAGGAAATACAAGTAAATATTCATCTACATTAATCTATATTATTTTTTATAGAAATATTTGATTATTCATGTTAATTAATATTGGTGATATTTAGTATTATACTCCGGTTTGTAATCTATTTACTTTTTTATTACTTTATGGAATTTTATATTAATTTGAAAAAAGGTAGAAATGATGATTATCACTATAATAAAAAATAACAATAAAGTAAAAACATTTAGTTAAATAATTCAACTTAAATGATATTTGTTACAAAATAGCAATACACATATATAGAATCAAGCGCATCCTAAAAATCGAAGTAACCAGTTTTTTTCTGGTTTAGGTTGAAATTAATTGATCTCTTTTGATCTTGAGGGGATTGTTGGACTTTGATAGTGTGATAGATCATAAGTTGATTTTCTTATTGATTTTCTGATTTTTTTTTCTGAATATGTTACATGAACTAAGGAAAATACGAAATTTCCTGTTTCTTCTAGTCTTAAATTTGTTTAATAAGATGGGAAATCCATTTTAGGTTAACCAGTTTTCTTGGCCATATAAATGTCATAATTATTTGGATTCTAATCTACTGGATTTTGTTTTGGCACAAGTTTGAGTGCTCGAGATGTTGCTTCTTGCAACTCTAAATGACATGGAAGATCTACAAGAACTAGAATTACGTCTTCTTCATTCGGGATAAAAAATTTATATGATTTCGTTAATTAAGAAAGTGCTTCTTTCAATGGACTTATAAGTGTTTTTTTGACTTTTTAACCTGATGTTTTAGTGCTATCTGTTTATGACATGTGGTTGTGAGTAATATTTTAGAATATATAAATATTATTTTTAAGATAATTTATTTTAAGATTTGGATGCAAATCGAAATTAAATATTATGTCACGATAGTATGAATATATTATTTTAATACTCCATTTTTTTATTCTTATTAATAAAAAATAATCTTTTATATGTATGATTTCATGAAGGGAATTGGTAAAATCAATAATAATTAATTTTGAACATCAAACAATCCTTATAATCACATTCTAAATTTGTTAGATAAAGTTTGATTTATTGCTTTTTTGTATACCCATACTTTTTTAAAATAAATTAAATAGGAGAAGACTAATAAGGTTCTAATTTTAAAGTGTGAGTTATCAGTTAAAGAGCAGAATTTGATGAGGTAATTTATAAGAAAATCGCCTTATCTGAACGATTTTAATAAAGAACTTACTCTTATTTCTCTTAGTTTTTAGGACAATCAAGATTAAAGAGTTAAGAAACTTTGTTATCTTTAGGTTTAAAGTGAATCAATCTCGTTTCCATGCTATCCCCTTATTAAATAGTAAATCTAGTTGTTATAAATTATGATTCTATAGCTAAACATTAGACAGGTATGTAAAATAAAGAATCTTTAATAACTGGCATATCATCTAATTTAGGTCTAATAAGAAAAGGATTAGCTGGTACTACTTCAATTTTATCTGCTAAATTAGTTTCATAAGGTATATTTAAATTGCAGAGTCTTCCAACAAAATCATTGTATGTAATTGATTAGCATTTATAAATTACAAATCTGTATACTTAAAGAATATTTTCCCTTTCGTAGTCAAATAATACTAAAAAAGTTTCAGCTACATCATATATACTGCATTTAAAATGGATTTCATAGTCATTGTAATAATCTAATTTGACTGCTGGATCTCCTACTATTTTTAATGTTTTAATATATCTAATTATAAATTATTGGATATACTTTAAAAAATGTGAATTGAGCATAATTGGATTATTCACTACTACTTTCGTTTCTTCATCTCCAGAATAATAAATCCTAATGATGTCATGATATTCTTAAGGCTAAAGAATTGGTTTTATTTTGGATTCATTTTCAATTTTCTAAGTATCATGTTAAGGTTTATCAACAACTAAGATTTCTTTTGGTTTTTCTTAAAGGCTGATATCTGTTTTAATTTCATCATCTGTATATTAAACTAATACACCAATATCTAGTTGTCCAATAATGAAATTGCCATCATAAGAGATAACATCACATTCTTTATAATGAGAACAAACAATTGAGGATTCTTGAAACATAATAGAATCTTAAAATAATGGTACAAAACATCTTCCTAAGATTGTGATTGAACTTTCATTCCAAATTTCAATTATAGCAATTTTATTGGTAAGATTTTACTCTTTTATAACTTTTTTAAATTCTAAATGCATGTACATTCTATCTGACATCCACCTTTCAAATTCTTTTTAATTTTTTGCTTTGTGACTTTTAATTTCATCTTCTTATCCAAGTATATGAATTCTAAATAATAATGATGTCGGACAATAATTATCAAATAAATAAATAGGTTATAATACAAAATCTTCTTTTATAGGAGAATTGATTTTTAATACAAACTTATAAGATGTTAAAAGTAGAGTAATCTTCAAATTAAGTTATGTTTTTGATTCTTCCAAATTTATTTAAACTTATCTACTAGCAGGCAGATCTCGATGACCAAATCCAACTTATAAATAAAAATCTAAAAGAGTACCTAAAATAAAATATGAAATTATATTTACTTCTATAACATATTTCTAAATTTGGATGGTGAGGTTGTTCATATTACCATTTATCAAATTTATGTTTTAAGTCTTCTGTTAAAGAATTTTATAAAATATCTAATTTTTCTTTTCTTTTTCTAAAATTTAATAGTCTTTGTTCTTCCAATTAATATTTTTCTTTTGCTAATTCAAAATTCTTGATACCAACTTCCAATAAACCTTGAAATTCATGTAATAAAACTTGAGTGTTTGATTAGACATAAGAATTTTAATTAATCATACCTGTAATAAGATTAGTAGTATTCTATTTAATTGTGAAAAGATCAGCTATCAATTTATTTTATCTCATTATATTTTCTTCTCTAGCAAGTCCAGTTTTAACTATTTTAGTAATTATTGTATTTACTTTCGTTTTTCTTTTTGATTGATAATTCAATTAAACGTCCTTTTAATGTATTTGGATCAATCAATTTTTAAAATTGTTTTTTTTGTTTGTTTTATTAGTTACCTTTCTTTTCTTACTTTTATTCAAAATAAACAAAATCATATGTAATAATTGCTTCTCCGGGTGATTTAGGAGTTAACTTTGCATACCACTTTTTTGAATTAAATGATTTTCTATCTCCATGTATTTATAATTTTAATTTTTCATTAGCCTTTGTACAATCGTTAGGAGTCAAAGCAAACCATCCAATATTCACTTCAATAGGATCTTATTAAATTTCTAAGATTTCAACTTCATAGTGATAAACTAATTAAAATATAACAGCAGAATCTTTATAAATTCTATCTGCTCTTATGGGTTTTTCAGTGGAGTATACGATAAATTTTTCATTTCTTTCAATTTCACTTAAGATATATATATTTTCAAATCCAAATTCATTAACATCTCTCCATCCATTATGACAAAATGGTATTAATTTAGTTTTAGCTTTTGTAATTTTAATAGTATCAGCGTCTTTTTCATTAACTTATTATATTTCTTATTACTTTTATTTTATATAATTTAGTATTTCTAAATCAACAATTTAATGAATATAAATTTTACATTTAGGAAATGATAAATTTAATGCTTCATCTAATTCCAAATATTTTAAATCATTAACTATAGGTGGTAATTTAGTTCCTCTCAATCCAACAACTGTATCATCATAACCAAATAATAAAAAGGGACCTATCAATTTCATTAAAGGTGTTGGAACATGTTTAAAGTTTTTCCATTTATAACTAACTTATATAGGTTTAATTTGTTTTTATTCTCTAATATAAAAACTATTTGTCAAATCTCTTACACTTCCAGCATATAAATCTGCAAATGTTATCTTTGCAGACAAATCAATTATAGCATAACCAAGAGTCTTAAAAGTAGTTGTCAATTTTGTTTTATTGCTATATTATGAAAGTGTAAATTCAACAGCTAATTTATATTCCTTTAAATATTAAGCTTTATTCATTATAAAAGCTACCCAAACAGCTGCATGTTGATATCTTGTGATTGCTTATCCACTTCTTAATTTTGGTTAATTTCTAGTTTGTTTTTTTTGTGGGATTTCATTTTCATTTAACTCTCCTTCATCTGGATTATCTGCCATATTAACTAAATCAGTCAAAAATATTGTTAGATAAGGACTTTTATAAGTATTTGATATAAATTATTCTGTTTTTGTATCATATATAGTAGCTGACATTCTTAATTTAAGTTAAGTTTCATAAGCATCTATTTCTGGAGGAAATGATAAATTTTCCAATTTATCAATAACAATATATTGTAAACGTAATTCTTTATTATTTATTTTATTTCTGCTATAAAATTCTCCTCCATTTTTTAATTATTCTAACCAAATGCCTACATTTGAGATTTAATCATGTAACATCATTATTATAAATAATTTAATGCATATATAACAAAGAAAATATGTTTGAAGTTTAAAAGTTAGAAAATAAAAATCATTCTCCTTATTATCTTTAACAAGAGGCATCCCATCTTACAGTTTTATTACTATGTTCATTATTAGATGATGAGTTATTGGAACATTCTTTTAATGCAGGTTTTAATTTTTTTTTTAAATTGACTTTCCTACTCTTTAACTCAGTTTATTGATGAATGCAACTCATAGTTCTCTTTTTTCTATAAACATCATTAGTAATATTTTAAACTGGCTCTATCTTATCAATCATACTAAAGGATAAATCTTCTTCTCTTTCCATCTTATAAGTTTGAGAAAATATCTTATAAGAATTGCTAGGTTGTACATGTCTTTTTGCAAATGATTCATAATCTTCCTCAAAAGATGTATCACATTTACATTAATTACCCATTTTCTATATATTTTATTAATTTTAGAATAATCATTTGTTAATATATATTCTAACCACATCAAACATATCATTTTGTTTTATCTAATAATAATATTTAATATGTTGTAATTTCAATATTTACTCCAAAATTAAACTTTATACAAATTCTTCTAGTATAAATTAGTTGAATATATATAATAATATATTCACCATTTCTAATGTATAAAAATAATTATATATTAAATTGTTGTATTCCCAATCAAACATAATTCTTAAATTAAGAAAATTTTTTAGCAATTTCTACTATGAATTTATATATTAGAAAGATTAACAATTTTATATTGATTATAGCATTATATAAAATTGAGAATGGCAATTATTTTATTTAGGCTTTCAAAGTGATTTAAATTTGATTTTAATTTTTCAATATAGAATATTAATAATTAATATAAAATTTATTTAATTAAATAAATCCACATAATCGTTGACGTAATTTTTAGAGTTTAGAATAATTATATAATAGTCACACTAAATATTTCTTAATGATTCATTCATATGATAATTATTATTTATTTTATGGTTTTAACTCCATATTTTATGTAATTCCAAAGAAAATTGTAATATATAATGATTAAATTATTTAATAATATAAGAGATACATATTAAAATGAAAAGTTTAGAGAATTAGTATAAACAAGAGTATCCAAATTTGATTGCATGTTTTGTCAGAAATACCTATCATTTACCATTAATTAAGGCTGATTTGTAAGATAAAATAGAAGAATAATTTGATCAAGTGAAAATAGAAAATGAATTCACAATTGATACAAACATATAAATTGAATAAGCAGAAATCTTTAAATGTTTTAATCCTGAAGCTCTTAATGAAGCACTATTTTAAAATGCAACAATCCTTAGAAAATTTGGTAGAATTAGATGTTTGATGTCTAGAGGTTAGTATTTAGCAGTAGGGAGTAATTTAGGAGCAGTACTTAATTTTTATATTGGTGCTGATCCTCCAAATAAGTCATATATTGAAATGAAAAGTTAATTGCTTTATGCAGCAGAAATATGCTAAACAGAACATGGTAGTGTAAACTAATTAAGTTTTAATTTGTCTCAATCATAACTAGCTGTTGGATTTGATAATGGAGTTATTGGAATATATGATATAATAAATATGAAGCATTTGAAATGGGTTAAAGTACATCAAATTAGAATTGTTTCTTTGGGATATGTTAATGAAAATTCATTTTTTTCAGGCGATGAATAAGGCAATTGTTTTATAACTAGATGTGCTAAAGGAAGAATATTTTATGATTTGGATTCCTAATTTATAATAAAATCATAACCAATGTCAATCATTAGGTCTATTCCTATAAAATGTAAGTCATTATTCAATTTTCCTGAATATACTATTGTTGCATTAGGTAATGGATATAAATGTTGGGTGTTAAGGATTTAAGATTCAAATGTTACTTAATTTACAATATTAGCAGATTTCTAAAATGATGCTCCAGAAAATAATTAATGTATACTTGAATGGGACATTCTTAAAATTGAAGATAAAGATAGATTAGTATTAGGTATATCTTGGACTAATTAAACAAAATCTTATTTATTTTAAGGAACTGAATATGTGGAAGGTAAAATAAGAGCAAATTTTTAGTTATGGAAAGAATTAAAAATGTCTGCAAATGTAATATTTAATTAAATTATTAGTTTATATATATGAATTCAATTTATAATGATTTAGTATTATTATTAACTGAAAAAGGAGCAGTATATACAAGCAATTTCTCTAATTATAAGACATAGAAAATTATGTAAATGTAATAATTTGAACCTTTACCTCTTATGTATTGGAAAGATAATAAATATGAGAGTTAATTTAATGTATGTATTTCAAATAATGAAATACTATAAGAAATATATATTTTAACAAGCTAAAATGTTACAGTATTGAAATATTATAAATTTGAAGATAAAATTAGACATTTTATGGAAAATTAATAATTTTTATTGTGTTTTTAATTGATTTTATGTATACACAAAAAAGTATTTATGGAATTTGATAGATAAAAATTAATATTATTTGCATAATAAATTATTGATTTATATAGCAAATAAATAGCTAGATTATAAATTAGTGGTAAAACAGAGGAAGCAAAGAAAAGAGGAATATCTTTGGTTAAATTTATAATAGATATTGGAACTGAACAATATTTAAGTTCTATATGTGATTTACTATCAAAAACATTGAATGATGAATCTACTTTTTTTTTAAGTATTGTTGAACCTTTTATTATTAATAAATAGTTCAAATTCATTCCTGATGAAATCCTTTTAAAGTTAATTTCTCTTCTTAAAGGTCAAAAAGCAAAGATTTTTTTGTTGCTTAATTAATTAGATCTTAATAGAGTGAATTACTCTATTTATTTATAAGCTTGTTTAGAAAGTTAATTGTTTTCTCCTATGATTTATTTGTGTACTAATTCAGGTAAAAATGAATTTTTAACTCCATTATTTTAAATATGGAATTACAGTATGAAGTAATCATAATTAGAGAATTTTGAAGAAGAAATCATAGGTGTTAGAAAAGTGATTTCATTTATAGAGTATATTCTGTTGGGCAAACTTTATGATGGTTAATCAATACCTATTACTACTTTAAAGGTAAGATAGTTGAAGATTAATTTAGAGTACTATTGAAATGATGGTTGTATGGATTTTCGAAGAGAATAATCTAAGAAGAATGATATGGGTTGACCCTTATGGTGCATTTTATATATTGTATTAAATAATGTCAACAACAAAATTACATTAAATTGAATTAGATCATTCTAAATAATTGTAAATATTTGATATATATTTTAGAAATGTAATTTAAAGTGTATTAAAAATGTTTATAAATCCTACTTATCGTTGGAAATTTTAATAATAAGAATTTGAAATTTAATAATAATATAATGATATAAGAGGATATGAAAATTATGATATTCAAACAGCTTATTCATTTTTTATAATAAAGGTTATTTTTATATTGAAATTGGAAGTAGAATTTGATATAATGATGGACATTCTACTTTTTTGTACATTTAATAAATCATTTCTCTTTTACATAGATTATAGATCATATGCAGAAGTGATTGAAAAAATTGAATTAGGTTAATTAGAATAACATTAAAGTCATTCTGAAATTATTGAATATTTTTAATAACGATTAATGCTTAAATTTGTGCATATTTTAGTTAATAAAATAAAAACTACAAAACATAAAGAATAGATAGAAATGTTAAATGGATTTACAGATCTAAAATAAATACCATTAATTTAAGCATATTTATATTATTATGTTGGAGAATATTAAACACCTGTTTCAATTTATTTAAAATCTAATAATATTTTAGTTTAAAAATAAGTATTCAAATATTTACATGATACTTTAATCTCTATGGTATTTATTATATATTATTATTATAGCATGGTAAAGAAACTTATACTAAACTTAATGCAATAATTGTATCTAAATTATAAGATTTAATAAATTTAGATATACAAAAAACTAGAGAATTAATTTGTTAATTTTAAAAAGATAATGAATTATAAATTATAGATAAATTAGGTTAGAATAAGAAATTATAATTAAAATATATTGAAACAGTAATTAAAAAAGATATTAATTCAGAATTTGGTTTAAGTAATATTTTATTAACAAAACATATTGAAGTAACTTCAATCTATTATTTTAATAGCTTTTATGTGAATTAGAACCTGAAAGAGTATTGTAATAATTGAAAAAAATACATTATCCTTTAGAAGAAGTGTTGGAAATTTGTAAGAAATTTTAAAATATTGAATCCACTGCATATGTATATTGTAGATTAGGTTTTATTGGAGATGCAGTACAATTATAGATTGTTCTATTAAGAAATATGATATCAAAAGTAATTGCTAAATAAAAAAATGTTGATACAATTGAATAAAGAGAATATGATGAAATAGAAAACAAAATGAATGAAATTTCAGATATATGTTAATATCATTCAGATAATCCTGATAAAAGTTGGTATTATTTCATAGATAGTCTAATTGAATTAAATACTCAAATATCAGAAAATTAATTAAATAAAATATTAGTTAGAAAAATTGGACAATTATTTGAAGTATCTATTTATAACAATATAGGATATTTCTACTCATACTCCATTAGATTTATTTGCATAACGATTAGGTACTAGATATAGTAATATTAATATTAAGGAATATAAAGGAAATTTCATTAAATTAGTCAATACTTTTTCTTATCAACATTACTTCATTTAAAATGCAAAATTTATAATTTAAAGATTTTTCAATATGGAATCATAAAATTTTTTGAAAGCTCATCTTGAAGGATATTTTACATTAAATTATTGTGACATATGCAATGAATAAATTGATAATAAGGGTTACAAATATTTATGTGGTCATTTTATTCATATTGAATGTAAACAAAAGGATCATTAAGCATGTTCAAAATGTTTATAATCTGAAAGATTCTTTTTAGAACATACAGTTTAAAAATAAAAGTTAAAAATTAGTAGAATGAAAAATGATGAATAAATTAAATAAATAGATACAAAATAATTAAGTAATTAAATAATTTTATTAAATAGATCCTACAAATTAAAGATAGAAAGAAGATAAAACTGAAGTAAAAATCAATAATTCAGGGAAACTTTTTCTCTTTGATATAGAAAGAGAATAGAAATATGATATGAGAATCGAAAATGATATTAGTAAATTAATCAGAGCTAATATGTGATTATTAAAAAATCTATATTATACATTATAATTCTAAATGGTATAAAAAAAGTGTATAAGCTAAAAATATGAATACTACCTAATAGATAAACTAGGATCTGGAAGCTTTGCATAAGTTGGAATGGGAAAAATATATTAACAAATGAAGTAGTTGCAATTAATGCAATCTAAAAATCTGTTCTGTCTAAATATGAGTAGTCTTTCTTAATTAATATTTTAGTGAAGGCATCAATTAAATACAATTAGAAGTTAAAATACTCCAAAAATTAGCTAATCTCACAAAATAAACAATTTTTCCTTTTATTAATCGAATATATGAATTTATAGAAACTGCTAATTACTTTTATATTATTTTGGAGTTCTGCAATTAAGGAGATATAGAAATAAAAAAAGATTGAATAAAGAGAAGCTATTTGATATTATTTCAATTACTTTAAGCTCTTACCTAACTTGCTGATAATACTATAGCACACAGAGATATTAAACCTGAAAATGCGTTTATTAAAGATGGAGTTTATAAATTAGGAAATTTTGGTTTTGCAAGCTAAAATCTTTATTTTAATCTCATCTGGGCACATTTCCATACATGGCCCCTGAATTTTTCAATAGTGATTCATATAATACTAAAGTTGATGTATGGACTTTACGACTTTTTACTCATAAAATACTATTTGGAGAAATTTATAATATGGTAGAAGTTAATTTGAAGTTCAATAAAAAATATTAACAAAACCTTATTTATTAAATGATCACAAGTATACAAGTATAAGATATCAGTTCAATTAAAAAATTTATTATGCAAAATGGTCTATAAAGAATAAAATTTAGTATTTATGCAAATTATATCAATAGAGAATAAGTGCTTAAAAAGCCTTAATGGATTCTATATTTGATTTGTGTAAACATGATCCAATATATCTAAATATTATGGAAATAGAATAATAAAACTTAAAACTTTAAATAGAGAATTAGGAGAATAGACTAAATTAAAATAAGATGAAGATACAAATATATAAAAAGAATTAGAATAGATATAAAAAAAGAAGAATAAGAGGAACAGAAACTATAATAAGAGAAGATCAAACAAGAAAAGAATCTATTTATTCAAGAAGGAATAAACAGTATTAAATAAGGAATTCTTGATAAAGTTGATGTAATTATTCTAATGGTATAATTAACAGATTATTTAAATGATACTATTTAACAATTATGAAGATTTGTAATTCTTTATATTTTGAAATAAGCTACAATTCTAATTTAATAATTAAAAGATCAACTTGAATAAAAGGCTATTTTAGGGATGCATGATCATATTAAAATTAAATTTGATAGTGAAATATGGATGGATTTTTATGTAGATAGAACTTAATAATCATATTAATAATAGAGTCTATTAATTAATTGATGAAAGAAAGTAAAAAAAATTAAATTAAAAAAAATATAGAGATTATCTAAACTTATTTAATAATTATATATATCAAGACTTTCCAAATAATTCGTATTAATAAGAAGTAATTGCTAATCTAAATCTGAGCAAACTCATTGATATTCACCTCTAATATGATAAATTATTCATAAAAATATAGTATCTAAGATAGGATTCTTTGAAGATCTAAAATGAGGCTACTATAAATTAAATATAAAAGTGCATATTATGGATGTATGTAGTTTACGAATATTAGAAACTTTGTTCAGGTTAGTTGTTGAATATCTTAAAATTTATATAAGCGATAATAAATGAAGATTTAGAAGAAATGAAATCCTCTTTATTTAAAAAATGAAGAATTAATTAAATAGTTATTAATATATATAACTATTAACTTTTTAATTAGATCATATTTATAAATTTTGTTATCTAATTTTGATTTTCTTCTTATTATAACAGAAACTTAGAAATAGTATGATTTTTTTTTTCTTTATGTGATAATAATTTAATTATTGAAATCTAATATTTAATTGATTATTTTCATTAATAAGATTTTGTTTAGATACTTATTATAAATCTTATTTTATTAAACATAGTATATAATATAAAATTTATATAATTTTAAATAGTTTGAATCTAATAAATTATTTTATAATTATCATTTATACTATTAATTGATATAAACTAAATTTTAAATTCAAGAACGGATTATCCTAATTGATAAATATGAATTTGAGTAGAGAATTAAATTCATAGAGGAAGATATATAAAATTTTTAATGTACATAAATTATTATCTGAAAGTCTAACAGCCTAAAAATTTGCTGTATTATGTCAACAGCAAAATGTTATATTCAAATATAAAAAATGAAAATGATCTTTAGATTTCATTAAGAAATTTTAACAGTCCATAAATGTGTATCTAAATATATAACATGATATATAATTTAATATCATTGATGTTATTCAATTCTTTATCTAGTTTTTCTTTTCTCTTTTTTGATCTATTTCTTTCCATCTTATGAACTTTTGCTACATGTCCTCCAAGTTAATAAGACGATTTATATTTATTTGAGCAATAGGAACATTTATAAAAAGCATAATGTGTAGATTATCGAAGACGTGGGATTTATGTCTATTGGTCATCTGTGAGATCATCATCTTCTTATTATAATGGTAATTAATTCATTATTTTTATTAATTCAAATATTGATATTATTATCTACCTTATATAGTAATATTAAATAAGATATATTTTATTATTATAGTATTATTCAAAATAAATTTAATATTTTATATTTAATAATATATATAATTGATTAAGTTATTATGAATTATAGATACCAATTCAAAAATAGATAGTTAATTCTAGACATTCGGATAATCTCAAGATTTGATAAGAGTAGTAATTGTTATTACTAATATCAAATCAGTATTTTAAAATAAAAGGATTTGATAGAAGAGGATAGTACTGTAAACATCAACTAAAAAACAATACAATTATCCTTTTATAATGAGTGAAATATTTGAACATTCAAAATTAATAGAACATTTATTTGCTGGAAGATAACCAAAATTAGCAAGAATAGAGAGAAAAGTAAAAGATGTAAGTTACGTAGACAACTCTTGAGTAATATCTGTCATCCAATTAAGATACAATAGATAATTAAGAAGAAGATCAAGAAAGTCAAAGTTCAAGTAATATAACAATTATATCTATATTTATTTTAGTTAAATTTCTACCTGATACAACTGATATTCTAGGTGATTAAGATGCTTATTATTTAATTCAAAAATTGTTCTAAACATCATTGTATCGAAGTAATATTATTTTAATTATAATTAAAGTTTTGGAATTTCTCTAAGATTTTTGGATCTATTATTAGTAATATAATTAGTCATTTGAAATTCAAATAAATTCAAGAATTCTTTGCAAAAGTAATAATAAAGAATCTTCCTTCAAAAAAGAAATTTAATTATCATTTTAAATAAAGAAAAGAATTAGTTTAAGGTCTCTTTGAATTCGTGTTAGAATGGGAAGATAATTTAATTGTAATTTTTAATATTCAATCTTATATCAGTTCCTTGAAAGTAATTATATTAAATATATAAATATATCAAAAATGACTGTATTAATGAAATGATAGATCTTATTATAAAACCTGTGTTTTATTTTGAAATAGCTGTAATTAAATTATATAATTAAAATATATATTACAAATCAAAAGAATCTGCTATTCATAAATTATATTACAATTCTATTTGTTTCTTAGGAATACTCAATACTTCATTATTCTCATAATAAAATGTATAATTATATCAACCTATGGAGAATGTTTTAAAATAAATCATTAAATTAAATACTCAAATTCCATCCTTTTAATAAGCCATTTAATCAAATTTTGCTAATATGTAATTATTCTAAAATTATTAATATGAAAAATACTAATATCTATTTGGAAATAATAATCTTATTATAATTAAATTAATAGATGTAATCATAAGATTCAATAATTAAGAATTGATAGACCTATTATTTGATTATANATAATTGATTAAGTTATTATGAATTATAGATACCAATTCAAAAATAGATAGTTAATTCTAGACATTCGGATAATCTCAAGATTTGATAAGAGTAGTAATTGTTATTACTAATATCAAATCAGTATTTTAAAATAAAAGGATTTGATAGAAGAGGATAGTACTGTAAACATCAACTAAAAAACAATACAATTATCCTTTTATAATGAGTGAAATATTTGAACATTCAAAATTAATAGAACATTTATTTGCTGGAAGATAACCAAAATTAGCAAGAATAGAGAGAAAAGTAAAAGATGTAAGTTACGTAGACAACTCTTGAGTAATATCTGTCATCCAATTAAGATACAATAGATAATTAAGAAGAAGATCAAGAAAGTCAAAGTTCAAGTAATATAACAATTATATCTATATTTATTTTAGTTAAATTTCTACCTGATACAACTGATATTCTAGGTGATTAAGATGCTTATTATTTAATTCAAAAATTGTTCTAAACATCATTGTATCGAAGTAATATTATTTTAATTATAATTAAAGTTTTGGAATTTCTCTAAGATTTTTGGATCTATTATTAGTAATATAATTAGTCATTTGAAATTCAAATAAATTCAAGAATTCTTTGCAAAAGTAATAATAAAGAATCTTCCTTCAAAAAAGAAATTTAATTATCATTTTAAATAAAGAAAAGAATTAGTTTAAGGTCTCTTTGAATTCGTGTTAGAATGGGAAGATAATTTAATTGTAATTTTTAATATTCAATCTTATATCAGTTCCTTGAAAGTAATTATATTAAATATATAAATATATCAAAAATGACTGTATTAATGAAATGATAGATCTTATTATAAAACCTGTGTTTTATTTTGAAATAGCTGTAATTAAATTATATAATTAAAATATATATTACAAATCAAAAGAATCTGCTATTCATAAATTATATTACAATTCTATTTGTTTCTTAGGAATACTCAATACTTCATTATTCTCATAATAAAATGTATAATTATATCAACCTATGGAGAATGTTTTAAAATAAATCATTAAATTAAATACTCAAATTCCATCCTTTTAATAAGCCATTTAATCAAATTTTGCTAATATGTAATTATTCTAAAATTATTAATATGAAAAATACTAATATCTATTTGGAAATAATAATCTTATTATAATTAAATTAATAGATGTAATCATAAGATTCAATAATTAAGAATTGATAGACCTATTATTTGATTATAAAATCTTTGATTATTTATTGTTTTATATTTATATTTATTTATTTAATAGCATTTAACATCATTATTTCATTTAAACAAACTAATTACATAATACTATTATATAAGATATTCAAAGAATAATTAATTAAACTTAGATCCTAGAGTATTTGAATAAAAATATAGTTTTATCTAAAAAGTATTAATTCATATTTTATTAAAGCAATTTAAAATTAGGTTATATGGTTTGTTTAAAAAAGATAGGTTATCTACTTCTATCATACTTAGAAAATTATGAATAGTATTAGTCATTAAAGACTTAACTGCTTGAATTTAAACATTAAGAGGACTCTTTCCTTTTAAATATTAACCTTAAGGATTGTAAAGAGATTCCACCAATTCAATTGAGTATTGAAAGATAAATTGAAATGATGCTTGATTAAAAGAATAATAATAATAATTAAAATTAAGACACATATCCCTTATGAAATTTTAAATTAAAATAAACTAACACATTTATAATCATTTTTATTAATAACATTCATGTTATATCAAAGAGTAAAATGAAATAATTATATTCCCTAGGAACCTGAAGAAATCTTTGAACCTTCAAAACCTAAAGTTGAGAATAGACTTTTAAAATATGGCAAAAAATATGAAGAAAAACGAATGAAACTCAAAGAATCAAAATATAATGAAATGATGTAAGATCGTCCATTCATTCAAAATATAAATTCCCAAAAAAGAATCAATTAAAGTGTAGTTGATAGACTATATGAGTCTCCACATTGTGGAAATAATTGTGGTTAAATTGAAAAACTAGTCAAAAAATCATCTGTTAGATATCCATTATAAGAAATAGTCAGACCAATTAGTTCTTAAAATCCTTATTAAAATATTCTATCATAACAATCACCTCTAAAACAATCATAATCTTTATATTCATAGCAAGGTAAGTATTTGGAAAATACATACTCACATTCATAAAAAATCAATCCTATTCGTTAATCTTAAACATTAAATTTTAATAACAACTCTTTTCATAAATCAAATAGTATTATTCAAATTAGTATGGATCTCTTTTAAAGAAAGAAAAGATCATAAAACATATGTTGAATATAAATATTATTTTCAATTCTAATATTACTATTCATAATTTTTTACATTAAATAATTTCAATAGTTTATTCTCTATCTGCTTAAATCCAAACTTAAATCTCATATTTCTCTTGTTTCTCATTTCCCTTCATTGTTACATTGAACTATAATCCTATACACATTTACATAATACAACATTCCTTATACTATCTAATTCTTTGAACTATCCAAACTCTCCCATTATAAATCATTCAATTTGCAACTTTCAGCATAATGTTTTTATGCATATTAAAGAGCTTTATTATAAGTCTTAATTAGAATTACAAGTAGTACATCAGAATTAGAATCTGTAATTGGAAATATTCCACCAGCAAAATCATTATCATCATCAACAAATCCATTATCCTAAGAAACCAATAATCTTTCAGATTTTATTGTTATAACAAAGAATAAAACTAATAAAATTTTCATAATAAATATAATAAAATCTGGAATTTATTAATTTATTTTCCTATCATCGAAATTAAAATTATTTCATAAATAATAATAATAAATAAAACTCTCTATCTAATCAGGATTTTTGGTTTATCATTTTTTAAGTAATTTCATTTAAATTTGGATTAAATGAATGATACTAATATAATACTAATAATACATGAATCTCTATCATATCAAGTACTAAACTTATTATGTATATTTATAAAAAATTAAATATTTTAATAAATATATCATTAAGCATAAATAATTTATTTTAGATATCTCAACATAGTGAATGATTTCTTATTTTCTATAAAAATATTAATGAAATTTTAGCCAAAGTTGTCAATATAAGTTTACAAAATAGATAAAGATGATAAGTTATAAAAACTACACAATTTCCTAAAACCGACTTATCAATCCAAAATCTTAAACATTTTTTGTTATACATTAAGATCTAGATCTAAAATTTGAATGTTAAATTATATTTATTATTATCATAATAATTATAATTTACCTTTAAAAGCAAAAAGATTAAATTGAATTATCATCTCTTAAAACTAAATTATTCTTGATGATCAATATTACCTTTATTAGAAAAAGAGGTAGATTTATTAACAATAATTAATATACTACTTTAAAATTAACATAATAATCAATACATATATAATAAATAATACTATATATAATATTGTATAGATTTCTTAGATATGTAATTAGAGATTTCCAGAATTTAAAAGTATCTGATTATGTTTATAAAAGTCTATAATGATTGTTCTACATAAATATAATAATTAATATTAATCAGATTTACTATAATTTTTAGTATTATATAAATAATATTAAGATAAATTATTTTGCAAATAAATATATATGTAATATCTTCTCATTTTTTTACATATTTTTCATATCTACTCATATTTCTCTTTAAAATTTCATCAACAGGTCCAATCAATCTTCTGAAACTGTCACTATCTAAATATACTACTATCACTTCGCTCTTGAGATTTATATTATATTTACTTAAGCAACAATATTTGCAGCTCTTGGCTCATGTTTTATTAAAGCTAATTCACCAAAATAATCTCCTACTTTATAACTGTAGACTTCCTTCTCAGTACCTAAAATTAAATAGAATTTGAAAATTACCATTTTCAGTTTTAGTAGCTATACAATCACCTTTTTGAATGAAATAAAATGTATTTCCTTATTCTCCTTATCTAATAATATAGTCTTTCTAATTGAATTTTTAGACTTTCAATGCATCAGCAATTTGCAATCTTTCATATGGATCCATATCTAAGGTAGTTGTTAATTAAAATAGATACCTTTTAATAATTCCACTTTGCTAAGAAATTCTTCATATTTTTCTCTCTTTTTAGCAGCTGCATCCTTAACAATATGATTGAATGTTTCTCTATCCAATGAAAAGCATATAGCATCAGTTTTAGCTTTAATTGTTGCTGCTCTTGGTACATTGTATAATAAAGCCAATTCACCAAATGATTCTCCAGGTTGATAAACTTTCTATGAAGAGGAATTAAATAAATATATACTAAATGTTTTTCAGGTTCTCCCTTTTTGAATACTTTGAAACAGTCAAGTTATCCTTAATCAACAACATAGAGTACATCACCATCATCACCTTGTTTGATCACAAAATCACCAGCTCTAACAAAAATATAAAGAAATGGATACTTAAATTTCTTCTCTTCCATTGCATCAATAACAATAGCTAATTCATGTTCATCTAAGGCACTAAACATAAATGCTTAGCTCATTCTTTGTTTAATTCTTTTAACAGCATCTTCACTTTTATTAACTTTCTTAGCTTAGTATTAACCCTTTAATCAAAGATGATTAAATACTTTCTTATTGAATTGTCCATAAACTTCAGCACTTACAGAAGTTCTTGTTGGTTTATTAGCTTTAGCCTATATTAACTTTTATTTGTCTTATAATTCTTCAACATGTTCATCCTCACTGCTTTCATCGCTGCTGCTTAGAACTTTCTTTTAAATCATTTTATTTAAAAAATAAAAAAGGCAAACAAAAGATCACCTATTTCAATCAAGGATATACATGTTATACTAGAATCTCTTATATTACTAATAAATGAATGGATCACATTTTATATATATATATATATATTCATTTCTATTATGACTTTGCAATCTTTTCCTTTATTTATTTTAAACTTTTATTAGCATCTTAAAATTTAGGATTCACAGCTCCTCTACAACTATTACGAATCTCATCCAAAGCTTTTTATTGTAATATTAATTCCTCTTTTAAATTATTATTTTGTCTCAACAATCTCTAATTTTCTAATGTTTATGAAGTGTATTATGTAGATAATTCAGATAACGTTTGTTCTAAAAACTGAATCTATTCTAAAATAATTTAAGAGTGATCCCTATTTTCATGAAATGATGAATGTGAAGATATTTCACTATAATTCTATATTTACTGTAATTAATGTATTTATTGTAATTATTACTATTATTATTACTCTAGTTTTTCAATCAAATTTAATTTCTATTTATATTATCTTTTTAATTCTTTTGTATCCTCTTCATATGCAATTATTAAATTTGATTAATCCTTCATTTTTTATTCTTATTCCTACAATTTTTTCTACATTGTTATTAATTCATTGCTTAAATCTTATATTTATTTATCTTTATCATTTCCCAAATTATTTAATCTCTCATTTTCCTCTACAACTTTCATAATTTAGGATTCCTAAATTAATAATATAATATCAATACCATTTATTCTATTGCATATGCTCTCTCATCTTATTCACAAGCTTATTTATATTTTTATTTCCATTATAGAATTTCTTCACTTTATAAATCAATAACTCCTTCCAATCTCTCAATTCTCTCCTTTAAATTATTCAAATTTAAATTATCTCCTCCTTAATTACTAATATTATATTATGTATTCTTTTGTTTATCTATTATTGTAACTAAATCTTATTTCTCCTTGAATAATCTCTAAATCATTTCATTTAACTTTCTATTCTCTTATAATACTGCTTAAGAATTTAAATCCATTGAAGTAGAGTCTGTATATAATCTTCTACTTGATGATCCATTTTCTTTATTATTTTATACCAATGGACTATCAGAAACTAATAAAGTCTTTTAACTACTCCCTCTAAAACTGTTCTCATTTCCTTATGAAGGCATATTGAGTAATTTAACTTCTTTGTATAAATTAATCTTCTAAGGAGTAGATGGAATTTAATCGTCCTTTTCAATTATTGCCATTTATTATTGCCCAAATTATGTAGGTGATAAAGATTTACAAGGAAGAGTCTTTTAGTGAATCTGCTAGTATATTTTTTATGGTTGTTGCTTAAAAGTTTGTTTGGGTGTTTAATAACTATGAAACATATTTAACAGATTTATTTAATTTATTGTTAAACCTTCTATCCAATTATATTAATTTTTTGATAATATTTAAAAATATTTTATGTACTCCTTTCATTCAGAATGTCCCGACAAACACCTTAAACATTAAATTTAAAATATCCTCACTTAAAACCTTTTATATAATAAAAATATATTTTAAAATTATTTATTTAAAATGGCATAAAATACAACAAGTGGACCTATGTAAAAATACAAAATAGTTTTTCTTGGAGAACAAGCTGTTGGAAAAACATCAATTATTAATAGATTTATTTTTGACAACTTCACTGGTAATGAATAGGTATAATCATAAATTCAAACTAAATAAAGCCCACTGTTGGTATTGATTTCATTTCCAAGACTCTTTAAGTTGATAATAAATCTGTTAGACTTTAACTATGGGATACAGCTGGATAAGAAAGATTTAGATCACTCATACCTAGTTACATTAGAGATTCATAAGCAGCCATCATTTGTTATGATATTACAAGTATTAAACCTTAAATTTAACTAAAGATGAGAAATCTTTCCAAAATCTACCAAGATGGATAGAAGATGTTAAAGAAGAAAGAGGAGATGAAGTCTTAATATACATATTGGGTAATAAAATTGATTTGGAATCTGAAAGATTAATCTCTACTAAACAAGCTGAAGATAAAGCAAAAGTATATAGACTTTTTATATTAATATAATAGGAATTAGGTGCTTAGTTTTAAGAAGTTTCTGCTAAGAATGCAACTAATGTAGCTGAATTTTTTAAAAAACTTTCTTATGAGTTGTTAGGCAATCCTGCTGAGCAATCTCAAAATTAATAATAATAATAATAATAGCCTGTATAAATAAATTTTATTTTTAGAAAACATAACAACCTTAAATTTAGTTATAGAACTAACCTAGAATTCAAGATAATGAGGATAAAAAATAAGGAGGAGGATGTTGCTGAAAATTAAATGATTATTCATTTTTATGGTTTTGTACAGAAATTTTATTAAGTCTAAATTATATATATAATATAGTTTATTTTTCAATATTCATCATGACTTATATAAGATTTATGAAAATTCTTAAACAAAGTTGTATGATATTTTTTCAAAGGATTTTCCTATTAAATCATATAATTCCTTTATCATTTTTGAATTGGATTTTAAGATATTTTCTATTATATCTTAATTCAACATAATTTGAGGAATCTATGGGATTTATTTATATTTAAATAAAATCTCAATTGGAATTTCCTCTTTTTCTGATAATAGAATTGATATTTATGATAAACAACTAATATGATGATTAAGAATTTTAAGTGAAATTTGTTAATCTTTAAGTTCTTTGCTGATCTTATTTAATGTTTCTAAATGAGAATCCTCAATTTTCTTTATTTCCTATTCTATCTAAAATATATATCATATTAATAAAATTACTTAATTATATTTACTAAGTTCTTATTATTTTTCATTCATCTTTTTTCTAAGATCATCTTAGATTGATCCTTCAAAATCTAATTAAGAATTTAACTTATCAATAGTAGATGCTGATTTATCATTCTTCTCCTTTAATTAAATATTAAATCTATCTTTAGTCTTAGAATATAAATTACTATTCAAGTTATTAGATATTATATTTTAACTTTGCAATTACTTTATTTTGATGTTTGATATTGTCCTAAACTGATTGCAATTAAGATTTCAGAGAGGCATTTTCTTACTTTGAAATATTAATTAAAATTTCTTACTTACAAATATATATTCTAACTTTTCAAATCCAAAAGTGTAATTTCATCAAATTATTATCTTATTTTTTCTGTTGATCTCATCACAGAACTATTATTACTTATAATATTTATATATACTTATTTTAGTATCCTTCAAGTTAAGATCCATTCTTATTAACCAATTAAATTACAGAATTACTCTACTTTCTTTATAGACGTTGATCAACATTATCTATATTTTTAACTGAATTGAATTTTGAATTGATTTTCATGAACTCTTCACTAAAAGTAGAGGCAGGAGATTATATGTTGATATTTTGAAGTAATGAATCAGTGGATGGATATAATTAACTTTTTTTGAGTGATGACTCAACAAACTTATTCTCCTTACTAAATAAATTTTTTTGTTATTTTGGTTTATTTTTTGTATTTAGCATATAACGATTGGTTAGGGATCTATTGTCTGATAATTCTGCTAAAAAGTTCAATTTCAATTTGCCTCTTGAAGTGAGATCACAATTTAATGTTGATTGGGAATTAGGAGTTTTTGAATATATCCTAGGTGAATCCATTTTAAAGGATAAAGGAGAGGCTATTTGATTCGATTGCATTAATTTTACGATTCTGTCTTTGTCGAAAAACATTCAGATTAATTAACAGAAAATGTTATATATTATTATTTTTGGTTTTTTGTTATTCATATTTTTAATAAATGAAATATCTCAATAATCCTTTAATATTTGTAGGACATCATTATAAAAGTCATTATTTAGTCTTTAAATGTAATTGTCACAACAAACATTAACCTCAGCAACATTTCTTGCATCACTTATACAAGAATTTGCATCAGCTAGTAATCATAGATTACAATTTAATACTTGTGTAGTATTATGCCCTATTATATATTCTATCCTATAAATCCAACCAATTTTGCCTCAAAGAGAGACTATCGTAAAAGTGGACATTTACTTCTTTAATGTTGGTTAACATGCTTTAGATGCCTTCCTAAATGCATCTTTGATAGCTTCTTTTTTTTCAAATGGAATCCTAACATTTTCATATTCTCCAACAAATTTAGTGTCATTTCCTTAAAAGTCAGCAGTGAGTGCATTGTACTCAGCTTCTTTATTCATTTTCATAATCACATCTTTGGCTGTCATATTTATATTTAGATATAAATAATAATAATAATTGCATTCAAAATATATCAAGATAATATATATTTTTACATTTCTTTTTCTTTAACCTATAATGGATATGAAAGAATAAAACCTATATAATTTTGATTTCATAGATCTACTCAAAGATTTAAGTATTATTCTATATCATCATATTATTTAATTATAAATAGAACAATCCATCTGAGGATAGAAAACATTTAATTATTAATACATATGTAAAAAGAATCAAGATGAACATTAACTAATATTTAATTAATTTAAAATCCTATATTGATTTCAAGTAACCTATATATTGGTTATCAGAAATTCAAAATTTTAGAACCAACATAAATTTTACAAATTTTTATTTATTTTAAGAATTTTTCTTAATATTCTATATTCATAGAATACCATAGAATCTTTTCAATTTATTTCCATTTAAATTATCTTCTAACTTATTTATTATGTTAACAGTAAATACCTAATAAATTTTTGTTAATTCAAATTTATTTTCCACTTGTAAAAATAGATTTTTAATAAATTAGAGAGATTATTGAAACATAATATAAACAAGTATAAATAAATAATGCACATTAAAAAAAAGCATAAAAAGTTTATTCATTATAAATAAAAATAAATTTTATATTAATATTCTATTTATGTTTATTTTGGAGCCTATTATGCTTGTTATCTTATAATTTATGAAAAAGTAACTTTCGATATTTGTGCAACATACATCAAACTACTATAATAACTCTAAACTTGATATAAAAATTTAATTAAAAATATTTATGTTTTTTATCTAGTTAATTCCTTCATTGGTAATTTATTAATTGTTCTTAAACATTGATATAATTAACATATGTATTTGTGTTCTTGACTATTAATTTTGATTTCAAAACAATTTTATAAAAAATTGAACAACCTATTTAAGTAAATTCACCTTGAGAGGTTATAAAGAATGGGTTGTTTCTTTAGTAATGTTTTTTGTAGAAATTTATGGAATCATTAATTAAGGATGTGAATTGATTAAACATTAATTATTGATATAAATAATGGATTTAGATGAAATATTTGGGAAAATAGAGAATAAAGAAAAAAATTAAAAAGGGAAATAAGTTTAAAAAGTTGATAAATAACAAAAGTCAATTTAGAATAGGGAATAACATTAATTGAAAATGAAATTGAATCATGAAATAAATAGATTAGAATTAGTAAAATTGACAGCTGAGAATATATATCAATAATAAATCAATAAAGGCAGTGCAGATTAATTTGTAAATAATATTTATATAGTTCTAGTAAAATGAAATGATAGATTTATAAATAGCATCCATGATAGGAGATCCTGATATATATGGAGACAAAATCAAGCATAAAAATTTTTTGATTGGAAAATTTGAAAAACCATTTTAATTGAAAAATACTGCAGACAACGAATTATAATGTATTAATTTATTATTTAAGTCATTAGAACCTCTAAAAAATGGATTAAATAGATAACTTAAGATATTTAAGAGATCTTTAGGGAATCTAAGATATACAGCTGTGACAAAATTAAATAGCTTATGGAAATTATACATTGAAGATTTATTGTGTAGAGAATAATCAGCAGATTCAAAGTTTTAAAGATTGTTAAAGGCTGATTTTCATGGAGCATTGATTTAGATAGTATATTCTAAATGCAAAACTTATGAAGGATAGGAGGGTATAATAGTAAGGGAGAAAAAGAAATCATTCATTATCATCAAAGAAAATGATTAATTAAGTGGTAAATTTAATCATGATATATTTAAAAAGTTATAGAGAAAGAAAATACCATATTTTTAATGCCAGTTGGAAATAAGACATATCGTTTACATGGTTGTCATCTTATTATTAAGCCATCTGAAAGAATTAGAAAAGATATCAAGTATCATCCTGCCAATGTTTTCTGTTATTAATATATGTGATTATTTTTTATTTCATTTTATTTCGCTTGATAAAAATATATAAATATATATATCTTTATTATTTAAATAATTAGATGTCTAATCATCCATATAGCAATGCCCCCCCTCCTTAACCTTTGGCCACAACTTAGGCTCCTAAATTTGGTCAACCAGCCCTATAACAACCAGTTCCCTAGGTAGTATTGTATTTTCATAGTAGTATGCCGTCCCAATGCAATAATCACCAATCCGATAATCATATATCCAACCTGTTCAATATGCTCCTGCTCCTTAACAAGTCTAATATGTTTAACAACCAGTCTAATACGTTTAATAACCAGTCTAATAAGTCTAATACGTTTAATAACCAGTCTAACAAGTTTAAGTGTAATAAGTTTAAGTACATAATTTTATGATATACAATTTAGCATCAATCAATCAAAGGAGAGTCAAGAATTGAGTATGTCCCTTATTAAAAGGCTGTGGTTGAATATGAAGAATAAGAAGTTGTTCAATACGTCCCAAGAGAGAGAAAGGTGACAGATTATTATGCTGTTGAGTACTAAACCGAATATGTTCCTTAAGTGTTTTAAGAGAAATACACAGGTATTCCTATATTAAATATTAAAGAATATGTGCCCGTTGATAGATATCAAGAGAGAGTAGAGTATTATCCAGTTGAGAGACAAGTTGTCCATCAATAAGTTTAACCTGTTTAATAACAAGTTTAAGTTGTCTAACAACCAGTCTAAGTTGTTTAATAACCAGTCTAAGTTGTCTAATAATCAGTTTATTAATAACCAGCCTATCAATAACAAGTTTACTAATAACCAGTTTATTAATAACAAGTTTATTAATAACCAGTCTAGTATGTTTAATAGCCTGTTTCTTATGCTTAACCATTGGTGGCTTCTAGAGTTGTTCCTTAAGGCTTTGCACCCACATATGCTCCTTAATATGCTTAATAATACCAACCATAACAAATTGCTTAACAACTAAAGCCCTAATAATAATAATAATAGGCACCAAGATCTAATATTGGCCCACAATGAACCATATTCATAAAATGAAAATTTATGTCAAAGATTTACCATTTCTTAACCCAGCACTATATGATTATTCTTCATATATGGTTGTAAAATTAAATATAATTCTTTTAATTAATATAAATATATATTGATTATCAGATCAATTAATTAAGATTGTATCATCTCTTTTTTTAAATATTATTTTTCTATATTTGTACTATCTTCAAATCTCATTTTTTAAGTAGTTCTAAGATGATAGTGATTTTTTAGATAAATTGCCTAATAAATTGTAACAATAAGAATAATATCTCGTTTTCAACTAATGAAAGTGAATGTAAAATGTAATTAATTAATTGTTAAATAAAATGGGAAGTGGACTGTCTAATAATCAAATCAATAACTTTAGGTATGGTGTAGTTTCTAGAGTCTAGAATGCTTTCTCTATTTTAAGAGAAGTCTTTAGAAAATAATAAAGTAAAAGTTGACTAAAGTGAATTTAACAATAGATTAGACGATACTACAATGGTTTCACATAAGAATAAACTAAAGGTTTAAACTAATCTTATTGAATTCATTCGTAATAAACCAAAAAAGGTTAATGCAACTCCAATGGGTGTTAGTGGAGTTATTTCTAAATCACATAGTATAAGGAAACCATTTATTGAATATGCTCAAACAAATCTCATAAATTTAGTTCGATCATCATAAAAGATGGAAGTCTCTATATTCAATATATCTAGAAAGCTGAACTCTCAATGGAACAATTTCTAAATATTAAAGAATCTCAGATGTTGAGTTCTCAAAGACTTAAACCTCGAAAATCTTTAGCTGTTTAGAATACACTCGAGGTTGTTTAGACATCTCGTTTGGAAAAAAGTATTAATGTTGAAGGAATGGCATAAATTAATTAATACACAGTTATTGAATCTTTAGGTTAGGGAGCTTTTGGTAAAGTTAAAAAGGCTCAGAATTTTAAAGGAGAATAATTAGTATTGATATTTACTTTATTTCTAGGCGATTAAAATAGCAAACAAAAAAAAACTAAAAAAAAAACTATTATCTAAATCAAATGCTTATACAATGTTAGAAAGAGAAATTGCAATAATGAAAAAAGTAGGATTAAATTAAATATTTTTTATAGATCTCACATACTAATGTTGTATAATTGTATGAAGTTATAGATGATCCTAAATAAGATAAATTATATCTAGTTATGGAATATATGGGAAAGGGTAGCATACTAAGCAAGGGATTTTTTAAAAAGAATAAATAGACATCTAATATTTTGGATGAAATTGAAGATAAAAATATTAATTAAAGATTGACAGAAGAATAATGTAGACATTACTTTAGTGATTTCATTAAAGGATTAGATTATTGTATTTAAAATTATATTAAATTAAGTACATGAATGTGTTAATGTTATACATAGAGATATCAAACCTGAAAATTTATTAGTCAATTTTTAGGATTAATTAAAAATTGCTGATTTTGGAGTTTCACATATTATGGAAGATGGATAAGATGGAAGAATATCTAATTAAACTGGTACTCAAGCTTATTTAGCACCTGAAGTATTTAAAGGTAATTTGTATTAAAATCTTAATTCAAGGATAGAATTTTGATGGAAAACCAGTTGACATATGGGCAGGAGGAGTGACTTTATATTAGATGGTTTATGGTAGACTACCATTTCCAAGTTAAAAATCTATGGAATTAAGATAATAAATATTAGAAGACAAGTAAACTACAATGTTATAAATTCAAGTCCTCCCTACCCTTAACCAATTGGATTTCATTCATCAATCCTTAAATTACTTTAAGGAATGTTAGAAAAAAATCCTGAAAAGAGATATAAAATAGATTAAATTATTTTAGATGATTGGTTGACTGAATTTGGTAAATAACCATTATTAAATGAATATATTCAATATGTTGATGTTACTGAAATGGATATCAAATTTGCCTTAACTAGTTTAAATATATAGATGGCTCTGAAAATTGTGGTTAAACTTTTGTATTTATCAAAAAAAGCCAAAAAAGCAATTGCTTTAAAAAAATAATAAAAAAAGGTTTGAAAAATTATCAATTTAAGATATCAAATCACTATTACTCTCTTTAAATAATACTTCCAGTTAAAAAGTTCATATTTTTAAATTTACTCATATCTTAATCTCTATCAAATGTTGGATCATTAATTAAAATATCTTCAACATCTGATTGTTATTATTGTTCAACAGATTATATTTCTACATCATCTTCATGTTATCTAAATTATCTAAAAACTTCAAATTATGCAGGCACTCTATATTTGTTTATTCTATAAAATTAATATCATAATTACATACTTTTTTTTATTTATTTTTTTTTCAATAGTTACAACTATTACAATTCTACCTACTTATAATGCTAATCTTTTTGGAGAATTTAATTGAATTTACAAATCTTCATCCTAAGCTAATACTAATGTTCCAAATTTTGAACAATTATCTTCTATATAAAAGGATTATTCTTAATGATTAACTAATACACTAGCATGATGTCTAGATACTGAAATATCATGTAATTTTATATCACAATCTTATGTTCTTCCTATTTTAATGGTATCTCTTGTTTTGATATCAATTACATATAAACCTTATTCTTTATTTTTATCACTATGATTTATTTGTAATAATAAATAAGGTTCTTTAGGTTTATTTATATCACATATATTATATTAAATTGACTTAAATTTAAATGATGCTATCATTTATAAATTAAACATTTACTTTTATACATTGTTTTACATAATTCACATTTCATACTCTTCCAATAATATAAAGTTACTCCATTTTATGTTTTTGTTTTTAATTGACTATTAATCCAACTTTGTAAACATTTTAAATGAATAAATTTAATGGAACCCATACATTTACATGGACTAATAAAAGGATTTTCTAATTTTGCCAATTTGCTTAGACAAAATCTGCATTATACTTATCCTTCTACACATTCACTATCATTTAAGTTATTTTTTTCATCTAATTCATCAGGTACTCCACCATCATCATATTCATAAGCAAAGCTATAATCAAGAACTGTTAACTTGACTCTTCCTAATTTTATTGTTGAATTTATCATTAATTTTTGACGATCCAGAGTAGGTAAATCTGATGCCTAAATAGGACGAATGACTTTCCAGAAAGCATTTTCAATCTTAGAATTATATAATTCAATATATTTTTGATTACTGCGAAACTCAAAAATTTCTCTTTAATTTCTTACTACTTCCTTTATAATTATCTAAATAATCTTACATTTTTTGTTAAAGCCAAAATATCTCTATCCAATTAAACCACTCTTCCTTATATATTTATGGGAAATACCTTAGAAATCAAAATCAATTGATTTTTTTACAAGGGAATCACTCTCATAATCAAATAAATTATGTCCATTATCAGACCAGATGTATGCCATCACATGAATACTAAGTATTTCAATATCTATACTTATAAGGTAGTTCCATGATGTTAAATACATTTTGGTTTTTAATATTCGAGCAAGTTGCACCCATTCTTATTATTTTATTATTATACCTAGATTTATTATATTAATATCAATAATTAGTATATTATTGTATTTACCAAAAAAATAAACTAATATTAACTATTGATTTCTTTTAATTTAGATTAATTATAGAAAATAATTTAAATGTTTCAAGAGTTTTCTATAAATATTCTAATTATAAATATTAACTAAGAAATGTAAAATTTACCAGACAAAACAAAAATTAAATGTCTTACTGAAACAAGGAATAAAAATATAAAATTAATAAAACTATATTAATTGATATTTCAAGATGATTTATTATTATCAAATTAAAATAATTCAATTTAAATAATAGATTTAAGAAGCTTCAACTCTCAATTCTTAATTTAAATTTTCTTAGACTTCTTGAACGAAGATTTAATTTTAGTAAGCATGTATGAAAAGTCTAATTAAGACTTTTTTATCATAAAAATTAATACACTAAAATACTTAAGAATTAAATTGTAATGAAGTTAATTTCAATTCAATTATCCAGATTGATGTACAATTATGTATTCTTTAAAGGTGATGAAAATGAATGACTAGTTTTAGCCACAAATTAATTCAATAGGACTAATTTTTCATATAAACATATAATTAGTATTAAATAAACATCCATATAGTATCTTTTATGATTTAAAAGATGATATTAGAGATGAAAACTAAATCCTTTTAATAATATATTGCATATTCAATCCATAATAAATCGAATAAATATCATACCCTGCTAATAGAAAATTGGTATAATACTTAGATTAGTTGATAGATATTAACCATTCTTCCATATTTGGAATTTATTACTAACAATATTCTATATTTAACAGTAATCCTTTTTTAAAAAATAAACCCATTTCTAATAATAGTTTTATTCAAAAATACTTTTATCTAATTTAGTTAAAATTCTTCTGTGATATCCTAATTTATCAATTCAATAGTTGTTTAATAAAAATTTGCATTTATTCTTAGTTGACAATAATTTTAAAAGAATTATATTATCATAAATTCCTAAATCTATAAAATTTTATAAATAGATACAGATATAGAGTATAATAACTTACTCTATCATTTAATCTTATATCTATTAGAAATGTCGCAATAGGTTACTTTTAGATATTATTGATAAGAGTTTGAAATTCTAAAGTCTTAGATGAATCGATTAGTAGAGGATTGATTGAAGTTTTTTGAAAAACGTAAATTGTGTCTTAGGTCTTAGTTTCTATTTATTGCATTTTTTGTTCATCTATGTAAGACTTCTTATTTTTAATTCTTGATTATGCTTGTTATAACGTATTTTTGACATTTTCTTCCTATTGTTGCATTTCCTCTATATTTTGCTAGAGACTAGTTATTTTCTCTTGCCATTATTCAGCAAAATTGGAATAATTGGAATGATTGGGAATCAAAATCAAAATTGACTTGAGATTTGAAATCAAAACTAAGTTCTTAATTGATTGACATTCTGTTATAAATTAAAATGAAATAATTATTCCTGAATTACAGGCATAATAATGAAATGAGAAAAAACACATATCAAGTACTATCTACATAGTTAATAAGATTCAATTTAGAAATGGTGAAACTGTTTCATCTGAAGGATTTTTAGAAAGTGAAAATAAAATTTAGAGAGTGAATTACATATTTCTTCTTTCTTTAAGAGCAATTAAAGAAAACATCTTCTACTTTTTACTTCTGATACTATAAGCATTTTCTTCTTTACCTTTATATTTTTTGGCGATTCCTTTAATTTTACAATAATGGATTATAGATTTACATAATTGTTTAAAAATAAGAAACATGGATAAAATGTTAAAAGAGTAAGAGGCCAAAATTATAAAGTAGTGGGATGATTGCATAGTTAATAAGGAGATAATCTCTAAAATTAAGGAAAGATTAGATTAGAAAGATTAAAGTGAGAGTAATATGAGATTAAAGAGTAAGTCTTAATTTGAAAAGAATTCATAAAATAAGAAAATTGAGTATGGTCAAAGTTTAAAGAAAGGAATGTCCAGATCAATTATATGTAATAGAAATTATTTATTCATTTTAGCAAATGATTCAATACCCTTTTAATAAATACAATACAAATAACCATAAAGTAACAAAACCCTTAAAGCAAATGACAATATAAACAAATATAATTAGATGAGTCCATTGATTTATAAAGATTTGGCTTTGAAATTACAATAAATTTAAATTATGGAAACTGATCCATTGATCATTCAATTTAAAAAGATGGTTCCTAGCATATTTCCTAAAGATTTGATTCAAACAACAACCAAAATACAATTAAATGAGAAATTGAAAAAAATGGAGAAGGATAAAATGAATTTAATTAAATCTTAAAATGCTGAAGAGATCAAAATTGGTGATGTTATTTTATTATAAAGAAATGAAATAGCACCATGTGATATAATTGTATTATATTGTAATGATGAAAATTTTTGTGTTTAATAATAGTTATGCGATTATTCTTAATTTACTGTGAGAAAACCAGTAGTTTAGAATAGATGTAAAAATTAAATGTTAAATTATAGCTGATTCATAAACTTTGGCTTAATTTAAGAAATCTTTAACTGGAAATATAGTATATTCTGAACAAAATTCTTAGATCAAAGGTTTTTTTTAATTAAAGAAAGATCCATAATCTAAAATGCTTGGATTTGATAATTTTATTTTCTGTTAAGAGAGATTATTAGCAACACCTTGGATTTTAGGAATTGTAGTAAAAGTAGGTAAAGGTTGTTTTTGTTTTACAAAATTATAAGGAAAATTAAGATTTGATAATAATTAGTATATTGGATTTTATTTAACAATTTGTGTAATCATGATTGTAAATATTTATAAATAATTTAGATTTAAATAATAGCATTTAATTAGAATGAATATTTGAATGAATTAAGATCTATAACATATATTGTAATTGATAATTGCATCTATTTAATTTTGATGGTTCCTCATTTCTTTAAGATATATTATAATATTTGTAGTTTATTTTAGTTAAAAATAATTGGTACTATTGATTAAAAATAAATAATGTCATGTCATATTGATAGATATTTGGAAAAGTAATATCTTACTGTTAGTGTAGAAGCATTTATAGAATAGTCTTTTAAATTGAAACGTATAATTTATAATAGTTAATATTGTGATTTTGAAGAATAATAATTCTTACATTTTTTGACAACAGCTGAAAATGGTTTAAATAAATAAGATTTAGGTAAGAATATTCATTTAATATTTTTAGATTAAATGAATTATTAATTAAATTCTTAAGTCTTAAATTATGAAATGTAGAGTTAAAGTTCAGAGATTTTGTTTAGTTAAAGAGAATGTATTGTTAATTAAATTCCAAAATCAGTTGAGGGTAGGTTTATACATTATTATTAATAAGATTATAAAGATGATTTGAATTTAAATTAAGCATAATTTATATTTTAAGATAAAATTTAGAATGATAAAGATTTATTTGAAAATTAAGAAATAGGTGATAATCTTACAGCTTAAAGATAATCTAATTAATAAAAAAGTTCAAAAATATATTAATCATCTAAAGAGTAAAGTAAATAAGATAAATATCTAATTGATGAAAATACTTTATATAAATGTATGATTTAGAATAATTCAAAATATGAACTCAATCCATTATTTTTATAATTAGCAATGAATCATCTTGCATTTTCAAAATTATTGATTACTGAAAAAAAAGAATAAAAAGTTAAAAATAAATATCTAAGCTTACTTGATTAAAAGTAAGTCAATATGGCTAAAATGATGGGTTATGAATTCATTTGTGTAAATAATGTTTAGTAATATATTATTTATATCAAATAGGTAATAATAACATTATATTATCTAAATAAACAAAGAGTTATATTAATTTAAATTAGTTAATACTAAATTGCATATCCAAAATCAAAGATTATATATGTTATTTGAAATGGATGATTAATCTTATGAATCTGATTAATAATTCATTTTATTCTTAAGAGAAGCTAATGTAAGGAAAAATGAGAGTATTGAAGATAAGGTATTGAAACATTAATCAGAAACTTTACATTACATATACTATTACTATTGTTTTTTGAGTTAAGAAGAAGCTAATTTATATTTATCTTCTGCTGAAAGTAATACAACAGATAATCAATTATATACACTTATGGAATAATTACTTAAATTGAATATTATTTTTGGTTTGAGTTATGAGTTAAAATAGGATTGTCAAGATTTTATGAAGAATATTAGAAAATCAGATTATTAATTATTCATTTATACTTAAAATTAATAGATTTCAGCAACCTCTATATTATATTAAACTGAATTATTATAATAAAATGATTTAATCTTTCATTTTAATTAATCAAATGAAGAAGATTTGAGAGCCTACTTTAAATAATGTTTAGAAGAATTTTCTAATTAATTTTCACATGCTAGTATCAATAGTTCAAGATATATCAAAATATCTAATTATAGTATGTAAAAATCAACTGAAATGGATCATATAGTAGAAAAATCAAAAACAAAAAAAGTTGTTGTTATTTTAAATAATTCTACTTGTTAATAAATAATGGACAATATATATTTTTAAAATCATTTAAAATTATTACTTAATTTTACTAAAGTATTATTTTTGTACTAAGCAACTTAAGATTAATTAAATATTATTTAAGAATTATGGTGTACATCAAATAAAACAATTAATTTAATATATGAAAATTAAAGTTTATTAAGATGTGTAAATGGATGTTAACTATAAATATTATAATTATAATAATTTAGCTAGTTTAGAAATTAAAAATTTGGTAGAGTAGATAAAAACAATTTCTTTACAAAATTAAGATTATCTTTGAGATAAAGACTTATTTATGAAAAATGTTATTTTAATGAATTGTAAATTAATTCAAATACAGATGTAATTATTTAAGGTTTTAAAGAATTGGATAGATTATTATTTTTTTAAAGTCCTTTATTAAAAATATTGTTTAGATCATTATAGTAATAAACTATCTATAAAACAATAACATTTATATCTTATTTTACTTTTGCTTCAATCCTTTACACATGGAATACTTTAGATTAATAGAATTATTTGGTATAAATTATATTCTATTTTTATATTTACTAATTCTTTTTATTTAGTATCTAACATTATTAATTTCTTGATGAATCAAAAAAATTAAAATATAATCGAGATTAATCTCTTTTACTTTAAAAATATTCTAAACATAAATCTGAAACTGAAATATAGATATTAATAATAATTAAGAATATTTTATAAGGAATACTCATTTCATGTATATTCTTATATGATATTTATCAAAAAGAATTTTATTTATTCATATTTATATCAATTAGTATAAGCGATTGGCTTTATCTAATAATCAATTTTGAATGGAAATTAAAAATAATAGTCTCTAGCATTTTTTCACTTCTCTTTTATATATACACTTTAATAGATTCTACATATAATGATGAATGGTAAACTCAAATAAATACATAAGAAATCTTTTCAATTATTTTAGGAGTCTCATTTATGTTAATTACTAATATATTATCTGAATATCTATAAAATTATAGTTTAAATGATCTTCCTAAAAGAGAAGAAGAATTTTTGTCTTATTTAAATTATATTCATCTAATTAGTGCACCTGCATAAAAAAAAAAATCTGTTACTATTTTGTAAAATAAAGTAAATGATCTCTTTGATAACATAGAGCAAGTGGATTTGAGCATCCAAAAATGTATTTACTTATTATAAATTTTTTAGTATTATTAAATGAACAAAATTATTAAAGTAGATTTGGTTAATGGACATAATAAATTTTTCATAAGGCATAAACTATTTTAAAATGGAAATAAAAATAAACTATTTAATGTCTATAATTACTATTTTATAATTGTACATTTTTACTCATTATGTATTTTTATCAAGATTACAATTATTTCTTTTTAGTAGATTATTTGATAATTTTTGGACTTCAATCAATTGTGTTTATTTTATTTACATTTATTCAATTACCAACAAATAGATAACAATATCTAGAGTATGCCAAATTTATTATTGCAACAGCATCAACAATTTCTATTCTTTTCACATCAAATAATTCTAATCATATTGGATCTACTTTATTTATGTAGTATTTTATTACTTATTAATTATCTATCAAATTTCATCCAATTTATGATTACAGAATGTATTTGGGATCATCCTTAATAACAATAATTGGTTATATAATTTGGTATATAATAGAAAATGAATATAATGTTTCATTCATTATTTCTATCTTGTAATTTATTGTTTTGTTTTCAACATCTCAATATTTTGTGAAGAGCTATGTAATAATATTATTATTATAAAATATAGTATATATTATTAGAAGAAGATTAGGCTTAAAATAAATTAAATTTCATTGAGTAAAATAATAAAATTAATGATATACTTGGAATTTTGTTACCAAAATTTATAAGAGATAGATTAAATGAAAGTATATTATGTTAAATTAATAATTATAGCTGATTAATATAACATTCATTAAAACTAAGGGTTAGTAGCAATTGTATTTTGTGATATTTGTAATTTTGATTAAATGGTCATAGAAGAAAAAGATAAAATTATTCCATTTTTGGATGATATTTTTAGAACTTTTGATAAATTCTGTTAAATTTATGGAGTTTAAAAAATAGAAACAGTTGGAAAAACTTATTTGGCTTCAGCTGGATTAAAGGCTTGTGAATAAGAATTAACATATTTGTCTTAGGTTGACCCTGTTTAAAGAGCATTAAATTTGGCTGAATAAATGATGAATTATATAAGATCAAAATAGTAAGAATTTATTATAATTATTAAGATGGGGTACTTAAGGTTAATAATTAATTGGGAAAATAGGAATTCATTATGGAGGAGCAATTAGTGGAGTTATAGGTTATCATAAACCTTAATTTTCATTAATTGGTGATACTGTTAATACTACAAGTAGAGTATGCTCAACAGGATTAGAGGATACAATAACTTTATCAGAATAAGCATTTGATTAAATTAAAAATGAAAATATTGAATTTGAAATTAGAAATATAGAAATGAAAGGTTTGGGTATTAGACCAACTTATATATTTAAATGTAAGATATAAAATAAAGATAATACTTATCCCATGCAATACGAGCAGGATTTATAAAGTAGGGATGCAAGAAGCAACTATGTTGTAAGAAAGAATCCTGAATTATTGAAAAAAAACTTAAAGAAAAGAAAAACTATATTGACTTAAATAGATACTATGAATCAAAAAAGAGAATTAATATAAGATAAAGGCACTCATAATGTGTTTGGTATCAAACCTACTGATCCTGCGATTTATTAATCTTATGATGAGAAATCAGAATAATCAATTCAATTATTATCAAAACAAGGTACTGAAGATAAATAGAAAAAATAATAATCTTTATAATTACCAAGTACATTTAAGAGATTAGTAACAATGTTGTAGAATAGATTTCAATTAGAAAATTATGAACCAGAAATCGATGAAATGATAGATTATGAATAATTATTGGTATCGTTTATGTAATTAATTAGAGAATGTTATTTTATTAAAGAATGAATATACTTTAGAACATAACTTAATAAAAGAAATATCATTTCTTTAATTATTAGAGATTTCTTATTATAAGAAACAAATGAATTAGTTTATAAGTTATGATTAATATATGGAATTTGTGAAATTTTAATCTAAGAATCAAACAATTTATAATTTAAGGTTGTATACCTTATATTATATGATTAAATAATTTTGTTAGATATAATTCTACAATGATTATAATATAATAGTTATTGTATTATAATGGTTTTGCTGCATATTAAACTTAATTCAATTTTTAATAAATAGGAAACCCTATTTTAATAAATGGAAGATACTAATACAAATTTTATTATTTTGTTAAGTTTTATTAGCAGGGATAGTTATTGTTTTAGAAGAGAGTAATGAATTAAAAAATGTTCATGTATATGAAATCATTTTCATTTAATGTATATTTTGTAGTGTATAGATTCTAAGTTTTTGGGTAAAAGTTTTATTTTGTTTTTTCAACTTTTTTTACTCAATAATAATCATTAGTATTGATGGAACATAATTAATTAGCATATTTTTTTTATTCGTTAGCTCAATGTATAATTTAACTTTGATATTATTCATTGAACAATAATAAGTAGGTTGTTTTAATTAAAAACATATTTTTAAAACTCAACAGTAAAAAGAATCATAACTGCTATAGTATTTATTACCAAAACATATTTTAAATAAATTTTTGGATGATAGAATTAATAATATAGGAATTTGTGATAAATTAGATAAGTTAACAATTTTATTTGCTGACATTGCTGGTTTTACTGAATATTCAAGTAAAGTTAAACCAGAAGAAGTATTAATTATGTTAAAAAATTTGTTTGTGGAATTTGATCGAAAATGTTGTGAATTAAATGTCTATAAATTATATACAATAGGAGATTGTTATGTTGCAATTGGCATGATTGATTATAATAATAGAAATCCTTATTAAGAAGCAAAGAATATAGTAGATTTAGCTTTTGAGATGATTAAAATTATAACTTAAGTAAGAAAATAAATTAATTTTGATGGCTTAAATATGAGAATAGGAATTCACACTGGATCTGTTTTTGGAGGAGTAATGGGCACTGATATTGTGAGATATGATATCTATGGTCCAGATGTGCTTATTGCAAATAAAATGGAATCAAATGGAGTTAAAGGTTTTGTGCATGTTAGTTAAGAAACTAAAGCATACTTAGAATAAGATTATGATGATCTTTTTAATTTTGAATTGCATACAACAATAGATCTTAAAACAATTAAAAGATAGATTGAAGGATTTCTAGTATATAAATTAGAATAAGATCATTTTCCAGAAGAAGAAGATTAATTTTTAAGTTCCTGATATCAGTACTTATTGTTTTTATGATTATATATATATCTAAAAATTTTATTATCATTTATTGAAAACAATTTTACACAAGAATAATATATTTATAGATATATCTAAGAATCCACAAGTAGATTTATACAAAAAAATTGTAATTAATTTATAAAATTTATGAGCTCAAAGAAAGCCACCGTCAAGGATTATATATCCATGAAAGTAAAGCCAGTATTTGATTAATTGATTGCTCGTATTGTTATTGAAAAACCTGATGATGTTTATGCCTGGTCAATCAATTGGTTATAAAAATAGTGTATATATATATTCATTGATCATATATAGAAAAAGGTTCATAATTATTGTAAGTTGTAAATCATGATCTCAGTGAAGAAGAAGAGGAAGAGGAGGAATTGGTTTTGGAAATTAAATAACATTAAAAGCAATAGACAAGATCAGCAGTATCAGCTGAAGTTTATGGAGAATATAACAAAAAAGAGGATTTCAAACCAAGATATATCTAAAAATCTGAAGGATAAATTGAAAGAATTAAAAAGAGGATACTTAATTCTTTTATGTTTTAAGCATTAGATGAAAAGGATCTTAATATAGTCTTAGGAGNTAAAACTCAACAGTAAAAAGAATCATAACTGCTATAGTATTTATTACCAAAACATATTTTAAATAAATTTTTGGATGATAGAATTAATAATATAGGAATTTGTGATAAATTAGATAAGTTAACAATTTTATTTGCTGACATTGCTGGTTTTACTGAATATTCAAGTAAAGTTAAACCAGAAGAAGTATTAATTATGTTAAAAAATTTGTTTGTGGAATTTGATCGAAAATGTTGTGAATTAAATGTCTATAAATTATATACAATAGGAGATTGTTATGTTGCAATTGGCATGATTGATTATAATAATAGAAATCCTTATTAAGAAGCAAAGAATATAGTAGATTTAGCTTTTGAGATGATTAAAATTATAACTTAAGTAAGAAAATAAATTAATTTTGATGGCTTAAATATGAGAATAGGAATTCACACTGGATCTGTTTTTGGAGGAGTAATGGGCACTGATATTGTGAGATATGATATCTATGGTCCAGATGTGCTTATTGCAAATAAAATGGAATCAAATGGAGTTAAAGGTTTTGTGCATGTTAGTTAAGAAACTAAAGCATACTTAGAATAAGATTATGATGATCTTTTTAATTTTGAATTGCATACAACAATAGATCTTAAAACAATTAAAAGATAGATTGAAGGATTTCTAGTATATAAATTAGAATAAGATCATTTTCCAGAAGAAGAAGATTAATTTTTAAGTTCCTGATATCAGTACTTATTGTTTTTATGATTATATATATATCTAAAAATTTTATTATCATTTATTGAAAACAATTTTACACAAGAATAATATATTTATAGATATATCTAAGAATCCACAAGTAGATTTATACAAAAAAATTGTAATTAATTTATAAAATTTATGAGCTCAAAGAAAGCCACCGTCAAGGATTATATATCCATGAAAGTAAAGCCAGTATTTGATTAATTGATTGCTCGTATTGTTATTGAAAAACCTGATGATGTTTATGCCTGGTCAATCAATTGGTTATAAAAATAGTGTATATATATATTCATTGATCATATATAGAAAAAGGTTCATAATTATTGTAAGTTGTAAATCATGATCTCAGTGAAGAAGAAGAGGAAGAGGAGGAATTGGTTTTGGAAATTAAATAACATTAAAAGCAATAGACAAGATCAGCAGTATCAGCTGAAGTTTATGGAGAATATAACAAAAAAGAGGATTTCAAACCAAGATATATCTAAAAATCTGAAGGATAAATTGAAAGAATTAAAAAGAGGATACTTAATTCTTTTATGTTTTAAGCATTAGATGAAAAGGATCTTAATATAGTCTTAGGAGCAATGGAGGAAAAGAAGTTTTAGTAATTTTTATAAATTAATAAAAAGGGTTGGAGATTTTGTAATTAAGCAAGGTGATGATGGAAATGAATTATATGTAATAGATGAAGGTCGTCTTGAATGTTATAAAAGATTTGCAGGGTTGTAAGAAGAGAAGTTACTGAAGACATACATTCCTGGTGAATCATTTGGAGAATTAGCTTTATTGTATAATGCTCCAAGAGCTGCTACTATTAAGGCAATCGAAAATGTTACAACATTTGCTTTAGATAGAGAAACTTTTAATAATATTGTGAAATTTTCAGCTATAAAAAAAAGAGAATAAATGGAAGAAATCTTAAGTAAAATTGAGTTACTTCAATCTATGGATAATTATGAAAGAGTTTAATTATGTGATGTATTAAGAGAAGAAAAGCATTAGGCTGGGAAAACTATTATTACAGAGGTTCAATCAATTTTAAATATATTAGGGAGAAATTGGTGATCGTATCTATTTAATTATAGAAGGAGAACTTGAAGCTTATTCAAATAAATTAAATGAAAAAGTATATGATTATAAACCTGGAGATTATTTTGGAGAACTAGCCTTATTAAAAAATAGTCCAAGATAAGCAACCGTTATTGCAAAAGTAATATTGTCCAATACTTTTAGACAAATGTTACCTTACTATATTGTGATTTCAATTCTTTCAAAAGATTAATGGGCCCATTAGAACAAGTTCTATAGAGAAATATGGAGAGATATGAACATTATTTATAATAATGATTAAGAATTCATATAAAATTTAGATTCCCCTATTTTAATAAAAAATCTAGTTGAAAAATATAAATTAAAAATTAGTAATATCAGATGCTATTCTTTTATATAGATCTTAATATTCTTTGATTTCTATTGTACAAAAGCTTATAAGATCTATCCCATGGTGTTTCCCAATCTAAGTCTGATATTACATTATATAACTGTCTTTAATTTATTTTTGTTCTCCTTAATGTTGATTATTGATTCTAAGAAGATAGAGTATTTTAATCATTTTCTGGAGTTTTAGATAAATTAAGCATTCTTATCCTTTTTGTCTATGATTCTGAAGATTTTTTCAAATCTAATTTATTTTAATCAATAGTCATCAGTAGTTTTCTTCTCATTTATTATACAGGTTTTAATTGAGGTTCCTTATTTTTAACTTAATATCTATAATACTCTAATAACCACTTAATCATTAGAATAATGAATGATTAATTTTTATGCATCTCATTTTCCAAAATTATTTAGATTTTTTATGCTTTATCTTAAAATTGATTTTCTTGAAAAAATTCCATATAAAGTCTAGCAATAAAATCATATACTTGTATTGGAAGTAAAGGTTGAATAGGTTTATTCATTAATTGTGCTGATTGTTCATAGAAATTCAATCTGATTAAATTAAATCATAATTTCTCTTACTTTTCATCAATATGAACTCTTTAGAAACTATATAAAACTTAGAGCAATTAATTCTCCTAATTTATACGTTCCTTATCAATTTTTGGGTCATATGGCTAATTTACATATAGCTGTTATTGTCTCAATTTTATCAAATTAATTAACTATAACATAAAATTAATATGTAGTATTTTAATATATTATTTCATTACATTTACATTCTCCTTAAAATATTTTAATGAAGATGATTAAATAAATATTTACTTTACTAAACTAAAAGCAAGAATGTAGAAAATACCTTTATATACAAATTATTATTTTTAATGTTAACAAAAACTTCAGTCATTTTTTGATGTTTTTATAAATCTAGTTAATATTAAATCAGATAGAGATTCCTTATGTTATAATTATTATAATAAATCAATACAATCTTGTTTGAAATTCATCAAAATTTTCAATAATTAATTCAACAATAAAAAATACTCTTTTATTTTGATTTAAGATAAATCAGATAAATTTTGAGGTGCAAATAATAGAATAATCAAAAAAATGAATAGTTAAAATTTAATATTGATCATTTTGCAATATTAATAAATAAATTATCCCACGACCTTTATCCTCTTCTTAAGAAATTTTGAAAAAATATTTTAGGCTTTATCATTATTTCTCTTAAGTTTTTCAAAATATATAAAAAAAATAAAAAAAACGATTAATAATTAATAATAAATATAATTTCATAAAATATTTAAAAAAGCGATATGTAATCATAACATAAATAATAGGAAATATTAGAAGTTATTCTTATTTTCATTAATGCTTGGAATAAGAGCTCATTATCAATTTTATTTTGCATTTTTAATGGAAATAAATATTATGTTTATAGTCAGAAAATCATTATTTAGTTCATCAATTAATTATGATAAAGAAATATCAGTAAAAGTAATTTATTAGAAATTATATAAGGTCTGTTTAGGTTTCAATTAATAATTAATTTAATAAAGATTTATTAATTCAATGAAAAGTTCTCAAATTAATTAAAACCTGTCATAATTGTGTGTTATATAAATTTAACAGCTCATTTCTTTCATTTTTAAATTCTATTCTTAAATTAACTAATGATGGTTCTGGTGTCTTAATTATAGGCTTACAAATTTCTGTTTCCATCTTATTTTTAGCACTAACCGATTTTGGAATTTATTTTAATAACTATAAGGATTTAGGTAATTGGTTTTTCTTTATTCTTTCAGATCTATTACATCCCCCCAATAATTTATTAATGATTTACTTCTTTTATTTATTTTCATGAACTAATTCTTCATTTTTTCTCTACAAATATTCAATCTTATTGTTATATTCATTTGGAGACAGCATTCTTTATTATCCCATATTTCCTTAATCCAGACACTATTATTCATATTTTAGCCAGTTTTTTGGGCTTCTATAAGATTATATGCTCTGTTAAACATTTTGAAACAGTTTCTTATAAATAATGAATTAATTTACTTAATGGTCTGTTATCATAAATAGATTTTTTACTTTTAAAGATTATCTTTATTTTCCATCTTCATGGTTTGAATCTTGTTGGCTTACTTTTTGAGGCATTTAAGATTTACTTCTTATTTGTTTGCTCTTATAATTAATACTGGTATTTTGCTATGAGTTTTGGAAAATAAATTAATTTAAATGAAGAAAAAAATGAATAGTTAGAATTGATATTATATTACAATAAATAAGCAATCTGAAGGAAAAAAGGTATTGATAACCTAATCAACCTTTGAGAAAGAATCATTTTTTAATTTTCTTTTGAAATTACTATAGGAGTTTCATTTAGATATGGAAAATCAAAAAAGGTAACTTTGATAATTTCATTGTTTTTATATTTATAAATAAAATGATTATATATTATATATTTCTTCATTATATAGCATAATTTTCATTTTAATCTATTCTACTCTTTTGAAGTTCATTCTACTCATTTTACTCATTCTACTCATTTTATTAATCATATAAATCATTTTATTTTTGAGGCTCTTACTATTATAATGCCCCATCTTCATCTTATTATGGGGCTTATATTTTAATTTCTTCTTATTACTAAGGTTTATTTACAATATTTTCTTGTTGTTAAATTCTATTTGATTGTAGACTGTTAGATTATTTTTGATTATTAGTCGAAAGTAATTAAGGTTTTTATTAAACTTTTGCAGATGCTCTTTTTTCATATGCATTTTCTATATTATCATTATCTTCTACTTTTGCTGTTGTAATTAAATTATTAGCTTTTGGAGCTTAATCTTAATTTCTTTTAACTTAAATTGTATCTTATGTTTTTTTTACTTTAGCTTATTATTTTGGTTATTTTTCTTGTTTATAACCATATTCTTATTTTCTATCTGATTTTGGTTAAACTTGGATAGGTTTATCATCTCCATGATGTCCTTCATATAATTTAATTATTTCTTCTAAGTTATCTGCTTATTCTCTAAATAATCCTTCTTCTAATCCTTGCCCTACAAACCAATGGACGAATGCTTTTTTTGTAAAAAGTGAATTAAATCTTTTTTTAAGGGATTGAAAATTCTTTAAGACACCAGTAGAATGAGCCAACATACAAGCAGCTTTGTTATATTTAGCAAATGGATAATTTGTTAATGTATAAGGTTGAACATTTGAAACACTAGTTTAATAGGCTATTTAAGTTCCTTCTGCAAAGGTTATCGATTCTGATTATTTAATTTGTTTCATCACATAATTTAATTCTGGTAAAGGACAATCTCCTTTGAAAAATAATGATGCAGCAAGATATTTATGTGTTAACCTATTGAAACTAAGAAGTGGTCCTCTATCATCAAATAAGGATTCAGTTATATCTTAGAGATTAGGTTTTTTTAAATGTTATTAATCAGCTTAGATAAATGGAGAATAGGAAGTCCATAGAAATTATTATTTTGGTGTTGTTATTAGGTTATTTCTCATATCATTAAAATCAACAAATTTAGATCCTCTAAATCTAATTGATTAAGTTATTGATGAAATTGATTAAGCAATCATATAATTAACATGACTATAATTAGGAGTTTCAAAATCTAATTAATTCTGACATACTCTATACATTGCAGCATTATCATAAAGAATATTGAAATCAGACATTTCTGCAAGTGTTGGTAAAGTGAGTAATGTATTATATGGTTCAACAATAGGTTAAGTAAATTATTAATTTGTCTCATCTGATGGTATTACTGATACTGTCAACTTAGTTGTTTTAGCAGTTTCTTCATTCAGCATTTATAATAATTTGCAAGTGAAACCGCTTCCAAATCCTCCAGCTAATGAATGATATATTATAATTGCTGAAGCAGCATCTGCAGATTCTAACATTTTTCGAATAATTTCCTCAGCAGTTCGAGTAGAACGATCTTATTAATCGTAATTTGCAATTTTTTTAGATGGCCATATTGATGATGAATTATCTTTAAATAATTTTATAAGGTTTTGATTGAAGACTTTCTTAAGTGGTCCTTTATTGATTTAATTGATAGTGAGTGGGTCTTCATCAAAGAATGCAGCCCTTGGTACATTTGTTTTAGTTTATGACTCTGAAAATAAAACCTAAAGATTCTAAGAGCTTTTAGCAGAACCATCAGGTTGAATTCCATGTTCTAAACAAAGTAATTCCCAGGCAGTATTTCCCATTTAGACACCAGCCTATCCAACATGAAATGAAAGTATCTCCCTCATTTTGTAATAAAATATAATTTATGTGATTTGTTTAATATTTTGATTTTTATATATATATTGATTTCTCATGCTTCTCCTTCTTCACCTTCTCCTTCAGCAGTTTCAATACCAACTTCTTCATAATCCTTTTCTAAGGCAGCAAGATCTTCTCTGGCTTCAGAGAATTCTCCTTCTTCCATACCTTCACCGACGTACCAGTGGACGAAGGCTCTCTTGGCATACATAAGATCGAATTTATGATCAAGTCTGGAGAAAACTTCAGCAATAGCAGTTGAGTTGGAGATCATACAAACAGCTCTCATAACCTTAGCCAAATCACCTCCTGGGACGACTGTTGGTGGTTGATAGTTGATTCCGACCTTGAATCCTGTTGGGCACCAATCGACGAATTAGATAGTTCTCTTTGTCTTGATGGTGGCAATAGCAGCATTGACATCCTTGGGGACGACATCACCTCTGTAAAGCATGGAGCAAGCCATGTATTTACCATGTCTTGGATCACACTTAGCCATCATGTTTGCTGGTTCAAAGGCTGAGTTTGTGATTTCAGCAACTGATAATTATTCGTGATAAGCCTTTTCAGCTGAGATGATTGGAGCATATGAGCAAAGCATAAAGTGGATTCTTGGATATGGCACCAAATTGGTTTAGAATTCAGTGATATCGACATTCAAGGCACCATCAAATCTCAATGAAGCTGTCAATGATGAAATGACTTAAGCAATCAATCTGTTCAAGTTTGTGTATGTTGGTCTTTCAATATCCAAATTTCTTCTGCAAATATCATAAATGGCTTCATTATCCAACATGACACAGACATCAGTGTGTTCCAACAATGAGTGGGTTGACAAGATGGAGTTGTATGGTTCAACGACGGCTGTTGAAACTTATGGTGATGGATAGATGGTGAAACCCAATTTAGATTTCTTACCATAATCGACTGACAATCTTTCCAATAAAAGTGATCCTAATCCTGATCCTGTTCCTCCTCCGACTGAGTGGAAGACCAAGAAACCTTAGAGACCTGTGCAGTTATCAGCTAACTTTCTGATTCTGTCTAAGCACAAATCGACAATTTCCTTTCCGATGGTGTAGTGACCTCTGGCGAAGTTGTTGGCAGCATCTTCTTTTCCTGAAATCAATTATTCTGGGTGGAATAATTATCTGTATGTTCCTGTTCTGACTTCATCAATAACTGTTGGTTCCAAATCCAAAAAGACAGCTCTTGGGACGTGCTTTCCTGCACCAGTTTCAGAGAAAAAGGTGTTGAAGGCATCATCTCCTCCTCCGATTGTCTTGTCTGATGGCATTTAACCATCTGGTTGGATTCCGTGTTCAAGACAGAATAATTCCCAACAGGCATTACCAACTTAAATACCTCCTTATCCTACGTGAATAGATATGACTTCTCTCATTTTTAAAGTGCTATGTGATGAAAACTCTCTAAAAAAATTATTTGAATTTCAGCAGTTACCC